TTGGATTACTTTGGAGCCTGCTCTCGGGTTTTCTGTTTAAAGTTTTTTGAGTAGCAGAGTTGCCTACGTAACCGGGGCTGTGGGTGCAGTGTGGGGAGCTTGGTGTTAGAGCGGCAGGAGCTGGAACCTCCCGCCTGAGCCTGCCTCGAGCATGTGTTGGTGAGGTCATCCCAGCGTCCTCTGCTGGCAGAGAGGGGGGATCTTGCCTCACCCTCAGGTGGCCCGAGGGGCTCTGGTGGATGTTGTGGGAAGGGGCTGGCGGGGAGCAGACACTACCAGGCAGCCGTGGGAAACTGTAGTAGGGTCAGGGCCACGCACATGCTGTCTTCACGTCATGGAACATGAGGCAGCAGGTGCACATGAAGGACTCACACAGGTAAACTTGGCAAGGAGGACGTACTTACTGAGGGGCTGCATGCAGAAGGGCGCCAGTTCTGCAGCAATTCGGAGATTGTGCAAATGTCTCTGGCGTTCGCGTTCGGTTGGCGGGAGACCTGCGTGTGGGGATGGGCCCTGGGCCTGGGCGGTGGTTCCTGCTCAGGAAATAAGGGCGTGTGCGTGGGGACGGGTGCCTGGAGGCTGCCACTATATTTCTAGGACTGGGTGGTGGGCACCCCAGTGTTCATGACGTTATTTGGTCCATGTTAGTGTATCCAGAATATTTCTTCCAAAAAAAATTTTTTTTGTAGCCCTGGCTGGTGTGGCTCAGTGGATTGAGCGTGGGCCTGTGAACCAGAGGATCGAGGTTCAATTCCCAGTCAGGGCACATGCCTGGGTTGCAGGCCAGTTCCCAGCAGGGGACACACGAGTGGCAACCATACATTGATATTTCTCTCCTTCCCTCCTTCCCTTTCCCTCTAAAAATAAATAAATAAAATCTAAAAAAATTATTTTTAGATTTACTTTTTAGAGAGAGGGGAAGGGAGAGAAAAAGAGAGGGAAACTTTCCTCCGTCGCTTCTTGCAAACCCCCAACCAGGGACCTGACCCACGACCCAGGCTGGGGCCCTGACCGGGAATTGAACTGGGACCTTTCAGTTTGGGGGATGATGCCCAACCCACTGAGCCATACCAGTCAGGGTCAGAATATTTCTTTTTAAAAAAGAAATGGATTTCCAGGTGGGGTGGTGACTGGACAGGACTATTTTGATACATTGGCTTAGTGACAGAGTAGGACAGCGTGCCTGAGGCCAGCCGTCTGCTTTCTAAAAACAACGAAACTGGCAGCAGAAGAAGGCCCCCCAGAGGAAGGGGGCGTCCAGATGTGGCGTTAACAGCGTGGGGAGTGTGTTTTAGGAAGTATGAATCTTAGTATCCAGCAGTTCCTTCTGAGAAGAACACTCTTCCGGTGGTAAAAGTAGAAACTGGCGATTTATCTACCTTTTCACCCTTCAGCTCAGAGGGCTGATTAACCCTCCCTGTCAGGGTTCCTCTGCCACAGAGGACCCCGATTTCCGAGGAGCCTTGTGGGTGAGCGGGGACGAGCCCTGCCGAGACTTTGGCCAGCTGCACCTAACTGTGCAGACACCATTTCCTTGGACAGATGGGTTCAGAAGAGAAGAAAAGAAAACTCAGCAGTTTGCTTATGGTGCGAGCATGTGTTTCTCATTTTCCAGCGCCTTTCCGCCTTCTCTGGAGAAGCTGTGGTTTTGTTGGGCTTCTACAAAACGTTTTACTGCCTAACTCTCAGCGTAAGCTGATACTGGAATTTCTTGGTCAGCTTCTCTGTTGCTGAACCCGGGAACCTGGTTCAGCAACAGAGATTTCACAGATGAGGTACTGGACTCCAGGGATCGGGGCGTGATGGGCCTTGGGTCAGGAATCCAGGCCCAGGCCCCCTTTGCAAGGAGAGACTCCGGGACAGGGAGCGTCCGAAACGGAGCATCTGTTATCTGTGTCAACACATCTGCCTTCTTTAACTCTGGAGGCCAGCGGTTGTTGATGAGATAAGGCACAGTGGTTTTCCTTTCACTTTGTGCTTTCTGTGCCGAGAGAAAGCACCGGGATGGTTGTACCGGCGTGTATAGGAAGGACCGCACGTGAGATGTTTGGGAACCGCAGCAACGGTCAGGCAGGGGCTGATGCTTCCTGTGGGGGTGGGGGGAGGGCTGAGGGCCTCTTTCTCACTGAGCTCTGCTGAGGTCTGAGGCCCGGAGGCAGTGGTGGCCTGCCTGTCACTTAGGGAAGGAGAGAGCTCGTGGCTGACGGCAGGGAGTTCCAGCAGCAGGCAGCGGGCGAGGCCTCGGCCCCCACCCCCTTTCCTGGGGGCACCAGCACTCCGCTGCACATGTGTGTCAGTTCCCAAGTCACACTTGCCTGAACAGCCATGCGTGCGTGCCTATTCCGAAGCCACTTGTGTGGGGGAAAAGGCACATTCTGCAGTGTTGAAACTGCCCTCGGCTTTAATGGCAAACATTCGTCGGCCTGGGTGATGGTGGTGCGTTCAGTGCATGCCGGATGTGGCAGGCGAGGCTTCCCGGGCACACGGGACATCCACTCAGGGGTCTGGAAATACAGTCTGTGACGAAGGTGGGACCTTTCCTGGGCTGCCGTGGCTTCCCCATCAGGGAGTTCCGTAAGGGCCGGAACGGTATCGTGTGGGACACCACAGGGGCTTCCCATCTCTCGCTGCCTCGCACACAGTCCCCGGTGCAGCGCAGACCCCACTCGCCCCCACCCGCCCCCGAGGATGGCCTTGCCGTGTATCCTCACCGCCCAGCCCAGCCCAGGGCCTGGCGCAGAGCGGGCGCCCAATAGGCGCTTGTTGAACCGGGGAGCCCAGTGCCCACTGGTTTTGGAATGAGCCTCAACCCTTTGGAAGCAGCTAGAATTCTCAGCTGTATCAGATGCCATTGTCACCCCGCGTCATGGAGGTGGCCACCACTCGGTGAACAGTATCCAGGGTCCAAGAGGGACGACTGACCCCCATTTCAGTCGGTCCTGCATCATCAGGTCTCTGGTATGTGGTGCCACAGCCTGGGCTCCGAGCACACTCTCACCAGCGGGCAGACGCACCGGGGAAAGGGCCCCACGGCGGGGGCCCCACGGCGTGGCGTGTTCCTCTTGTACGTGTGCCGTCTTGGCGACCGCGCTGTGACCATCATACAGAGGCAGCCGCAGAGTGGGGTCTCTGTCTTCCCAGAGGTTTTGTTGATGGGTGCCGAAATTTCACATAAGTTTTGTGTGTCACAGACTAATGTGCTTTGGATTTTTTTTTAATAAACACTTAACAATGAGAAAGCCACTCTTGGCATGCAGGTATATAAGCTAGACCTTGGAGGGCTCAGTGTGGCCTCACTGGGGTTCCTGCAGGGCGGGCAGTGTGCCTGGGGCAGGGGCCTTTGCCCTTGACACCGTCCCCCAGGGAAGACAACCTGCCCCCTGAGGCAGTGACTGGGCCAGTATTGATGCGGAGTTTTCCATTCTCTTAGACCTGCAGGAGCAGGGTCTCAGTGATGCGGGCGGGGCGACCCCGTGCCCCCAGGCCCAGCCCTCAGAGAGCAACCACCGTGTGGAAATGGTGAGGCTGGTAGCAGGGGCCTTCTGACGAACCTCCGCTGAGTCACCTCGTAGAGCGCGCGGTGGGGGTGGCGGCGGGAACACTCTGGGCTGCTGTGTGTGGGGGGCCTTCCCAGGGCACGCGGCTGAGGTGGGCTCTGGGGTCGCCCAGCGAAGAGCAGCTGACCCAGCAGCACTGGAAAGCCCAGCTCAGCTGGAGATCCAGGCCAGGTTGCCCCAGAAGCGGGCCTGTCCCGTGCACTGGCAGATGGATCATCCGGTGTCTCGGTTCCAGCAGAGCGTAACTCCCTGTGAAATGAGGTCTGTCTGCGGCTCAGCACGGCGCCCCCGTTCACAGAGTGCTGTCAGGCATGCGTTAGGTGCGCCCGTCACTGCTCCAGGCCCCGTGCTCTGGGCCCTGGTGACCTCACGGCGGGGGCAGGGAGGTGTGGGCCGCACTCCCCCCCCCCCCCCCCGTGTGTTCAGTCAGCAAACATATTGAACATCTGCTGTGTTGTGAGTATCATGCCATTCCTGCAGGCACAGCAGGGAAAATTGTCTGTTCATTTAAGAAAGGACAGCATCAAGGCTTTAAAAATAGATTAGCACTTGATAGAATCAGAGAATTCCAAAAGCTTTGGGGAAAAAAACCAACAACTTTGAGAGAAACCACATTTGTCTGCCGTCCTCGGCCTTGGGAGTAAATATCAGATGTCCGCCAGGTTTTCGATTCCAAGGGAGGTCTGGCGTCCTTCCACGGTAAATGACGGGGAGGGGGGCTCTCCATTGGGAAGTGGCCCCGAGCCAGAAATTTGTGCTCCGTGCAGAAACTGCTGTGGGCGGTGCCAACTTGGAGAGAGCTGCAGAAAGACAAGCGGGGGTGGGGTGGGGGGTGGGGAGGTGTCAGATTTGGGTAAAATTGAGAGCTGCTCAGGCACTGGGTCCTCCTTGGGTCACTAAGTTGTCATCTTTGTCACATGGACTCAACATCTTTTTTTCTTTTAATTTTCACCCAAGGATTTTTTTTTTAATAATTAGCATTTTGCATGTCATGGTTTTTTTTAAAGATTTTATTTATCTTTAGAGGGGAAGGGAAGGCGAGAAGGAGAGAAATATCAATGTATAGTTGCTTGTGAGTCCTACGTGGCCGCCCCAGGCATGTGCCCTGACTGGGAATCGAACCACGATTGTGTGGTTTGCAGCCTCAATCCACTGAGCTACACCAGCCAGGTCCAAGGACTTTTTTTTATTGCTTTGAGGGGTGGGGGGAGGGAGGGAGGGAGGGAGGGAGGGAGAAAGAAAGAGAGAGAGAGAGAGAGAAAGAAAAAGAAAGAAAGAAAGGAAGGAAGGAAGGAAGGAAGGAAGGAAGGAAGGAAGGAAGGAAGGAAGGAAGGAAGGAAGGAAAGAAAGAAAGAAAGAAAGAAAGAAAGAAAGAAAGAAAGAAAGAAAGAAAGAAAGAAAGAAAGAAAGAAAGAAAGAAAGAAAGAAATGGATGTGAGAGAAAAAAACATCCCTCAGTTGCCTCCTACACGCTCCCTGACTGGGGATTGAACCTGCAACCTTCCAGTTTACAGGATGATGCTCCAACCAAGGGAACCACACTGGCCAGGGCCACTCAGCACCTTTTAATACTGAGCCATTTGCTTCTTCAGAGGGATTGCTGGGAGGACAGGACTCTGGTGGAGAAGGGGGAATCCGGAGCGGGGAGCCTGGGCCCCCACGCCCCCTAGGCGTCCGCCCCGGCTCTGCCTCGGTGGAGACCTGCCTCCTGGGGACCTGCGGGTACGAAGCGGTGGCCAGGCCTCTGATGTCAGGTGGGCAGGCCTGTGTTATCAGAGATGTTGGTCTTGGATTATAAGAGGTGTTTCTTGGTAGCAGGCCTGGTCCGTGCTTCCCTTTGCAGCCCTCTGCTGTGCAGGGGCGGGGCTTGCGGGGAAGGCAATGCTGCCGTTCCACTAGCAGGTTTGCCGAGCACAGGACATGGGGCCGGAGTCGAGTGTGGCCTGTGGCCGCAGGGAGCTTGTCCCGCTCTGTTCTGGGCTGTGACGAGGACACACATCTGGGCTGGGTCATCTGTGAGTGGCTCTGTGAGCTGGAAGGGGGCCTGCCCTGTCCCCTCCCGACACAGTGAGGAAACCAAGTCCCACCCCTCGGCGGTGGCAGCTCAGCCACCGGAACCCTTCCTAGACACAAGAACTGCATTTATATTTAAAATGTAGCCGTGTGCTGACATTTGCCTTGTGTTTCCACCTTGAGCCACGAGTCAGAAATTGAGCTCATTCCGTTCTCAGGTGCTGCATAGAGAGGCACCATCACCCACTTGGATGGCGACAGAGGTCAAGTCCCCCAGGGTTGGAAACGAACGGTGTGGGGGACAGATGTCCGGGGAGGGGGTGGACTCGAGAGCAGGTGGGTGGCAGTGCTGGGCACGGCCGGTCCCCGTCCTGGGCCTGGTCCAGTTGGGTCCATGTGGCTCCAAGTGCATCCACCCTGGTCTCTGAGGGCCTCGCCTTGCAGCCTCAGACGAGGCCAGTGTAGTGAGCGCCCCCGTCTTCGCTTCCAGGGCAGCGTGCTGACCAGGCTCCTTTCACTTCCGTGACGTAAAGGGCACCACCTCCTCCAGAACGGGGCTTCTCACACTTGTGTGAGGACAAAGCCCCCAGGGACCCCACAGGTTCTGGTTCGGGTGGGAGGCCCGGGTGGGGCTCAGGAACCACGTTTCCGCCCGTCCCCGGAGCCCGCCATGGTGGTGGTCTCTGTGCTGTCCCCCGTGAGGGACGGTTCTCTGTGGCTCTGAGGCGAGAGGACAGGAGAGAGAACTGGGCTGCAGGGGGAAGCCCTGGTGGCTGTGCCCTGGTCCTCAGGGGGCACTCTGTGGTTTTTATCTGTGCATCCGCTTTGCATTTCAAGTCTCTCACTGCAGAGCATGGGTTTGGGCCTGTTACCCAGTCCACGCCATTCCCCGAGGGCCCTGAGGTTTCTGTCCCCAGGAAGTCACTGCTGCACCCCACACGCTGGTGTCCCCTGGGCCTTTCGGAGGGAGCTCCTGTCTTCACAGCCCCCAGCTTGCCCCTGGAGGGGGGTGAATGACAGAGGGACATAGGGAAACTACTTGACACTTTTTTTTTTTTTAAGATTGTGTTTATTTTAGAGAGAGGGGAAGGGAAGGGAAGGAGAAAGGGAGGCCAGGACACCGCCCCTTCCAACTCTGATCGCTCAGGAAAACAACCTTGGGGTCTGGCTTCCTGCTCGGTCATTGAGGGATTTCATTCAGATTTCATGTGCTTATTTTAATAGCAGGCACTCGTACATCGACGTGAAGACCCCAGCTTAGGAAGACAGAGAATGAGGTTTTGGGAGCGTCACGCAGCCGCAGTGGGGGGAGGGGTGGGCAGAGCCCGAGCTGCTTCTCTTCCCCGTGTCGGCCGCTGGGCTGAAGCACCAGGTTTCAGAACCTTCCCAGGGAAAAGTCACATGTCTGTTCCTGGTCCGCGGCCAGATCCCTTGCGGATGTTTCCAGGCTCGTAGTTCTGAAACACTCAGAAGGATCTGTGGAACCTACAGTTATTTATCAGTTTGGGATGGTAGTCTATTTTTTTTTTAAATGAAATAAACTTGATTGCTTGACATGAGAGAGACAGAGAAACACATCAATTTGTTGTTCTCACTGATGCATTCATTTTGTCGTTGGTTCTTGTGTGCGCCCTGACTGGGGAGCGAACCCCCAGACTTGGGGTATCAGGACGCTGCTCTGACCAGCTGAGCTACCCAGCAGGGGCCCTGTAGCCTTTGTTTTGTTCCCTCAAGATGCTTCCAATGTTCTTGCACTTTTCATTGCTCGAGAAGGAATTGCCTCAGACGCAGCTCGGAAATCGAGATTCCCTCCTGAGGTTCCAGAAGCAGAAGTCCCTCCACTCCCAGCAGCAGGCGGGCACCGTGCTTCCCTCCCTCTGGGGGCGATTTCCCCATCTGGACAGGCACTTGCCGTGCCTCTCGGTGGCCCCTGCTGGGCCTGGCCTTCAGGCGGAGAGCCCAGAGGTCACGTCCGAAGTGGGGGCTGAGCTGCTGTGTCTTCACACGTGGCGCTTGCAGAGATGAGTAAGCGGTTCTGTGAGGGACCTCTGATGGCCCCGTGGGTGGGACGGGGGTTGGCAGGGGTGTCGAGCAGCCGGGGCGGGTGGTGGAGGCCACATGTTGCTGTGTGGGCGAGAGGCTCCGGTCCTGTGGGGTGTGGGCGGCATGGGTGTGGCGGCTGGGGCATCAGAGAGGCGTAGGCAGGGGGCACATAGAACGTGATGGCAAGGAGGGGGGTTTGGGGTGGGGGTGGGGGACAGGATGCAATACCATGCAACACCAATAGGGGCGCTGCTGCAGAGGCGCGAGTGGTGGGGGGGGCAGGAGAATGTCTGGGAGTGTGGACCAGGGAGACTGACCAGGGGGCTCTGTGGCCTCAGGACTTGGTGACTTCGTCGTGCTGGACACCATCTGTTTTCTCCGTGTATGGGCTCGTTCCTGCCCCTGCAGCCCGCTGTCCACAGGGTCCTCGGAGCAGCAGTGTGTGCTTCACAGCCTGGGGGGCGCGCTGGGTCCCCCCACTCACCCTGAGGTGCACAGGGCCAGCCTCTGACGCGGGGGGGGGGGGCGCCCTGGCCCCCCACGGAGCCAGCGCCCTGGCTGGGGTTGCCGGGATTTCACTCCTTGAGAAAAACCGTAGAGGAACTTCTGGTTCCTGTGGAAATGCTGAGAGGGTGCATTTAGTCCTGGGCGCGAACTTCTCCTTCTTCTCCTGACAGCGCGGCTCCCAGGCCCCGCTTTGCCTCTCGGCGGTGCCTGTGGGCCAGGGGAGCTTGTCCTCGGTGTCACACAAAGTTATATTGTTACCTGGGTCATAATTCATAACGCGTTCATTTCTTTCCAAATTTTTAGCCAGCTCTCCTAATCCCGTTGTTTAATGATGCGTACTTTTTGTGCCGATTTGACTTGAAGTGCTACATGAATGTTATATATGTTTGGATGCTCTGGTGGTACAAGGTTGCCGTAGCTGTCATTTCGTTAGAATACGCTGACCTGTGTGGTGGGGCACAGGCGGGCTTTGAACCTGAAGTATCTTCTCTGAATTCTCGAAGGTTAAACTGGAGATGAAGGTCATGATGTCTCGGCCACCCTCTGAAGAGCGCCTTTTAGAATTTTGACCAGACGCTGTTATGATTCTGTCACGTGTGAGAGTTTGTCAAGTGTGTGCCCAGGCCTGTACATGTTGACTGCACTTGGGAGCGTGTCTCCCACGATCTACTGGCCACAGGGACACCATCTGCTCTCAGGGGCGTCTCAGAGGGTCACCCGGCTCCCTGCCCCCAGGGTTGACCCCTCGCTGGCCCAGGTTAGGCCCTTAATGACTATTTGCCGAGTGAATGTACCCACATTATCATGTATACGGTGTTTTTCGTTTTTCTCCTGTTGGATTAGTCCAGAGAGGGTCCCCCTAATACGACTGTAGGTCACGAGATGAGCATTGTCCCGGCCCTGGGGGAGGGAGCTGGGGCAGTTGTGCAGTAAGGATGAGGCCGAGGCCCTGGGCCCTGGCCCCTGGCCCCGTGAGGGCGCCGGCCCCTCCCCTGGCACTGCCTGGGTCCGGTCAGCGCGTGTGGCAGGGAATGAAGTTGTGATCAGATGACTATTTCTGGATTTCCCTGAGCGCTGAGGAGGGGGCAGGGCTGGGAGGGAAGGGAGCCCCCGGGGTCCCAGGAGAGACAGGTGGCCGGGGCCTGTTGTCCCAGGCGGGGAGCAGCTGGGGCGCCACATGGCCCTCAGCCAGCTGTCTGGCTGAATCCCACTCGGGCTGCCCGAGGGGGCCTGGTTTTCCTCCTGGCAGCGGGCACCTTGAGGGGTGGCACCCCAGTGCAGCGGCTGTCTGTGAGAGCAGGGCTGTGCCCACCCAGCCCTCATCTGCCCCTCACCTTCCTGTAGCTGGGTAGGGGACCTCCAAAACATTCCCCGTGGGGTCTGTGGTGTAGGGGTTGGTGGCGGTTGGCACTGGGATTTTAGCCATGTGAGCAGCTGAACATGAGGAGAGCGTGGGCCAGGCCCTTCGAGGTCGGCACCGAGAAACTCAGTGCAGCCACCTTCAGAGACCAGGAAGCTGCCCCGGGCCGCGTGGCGCTGGGACCTCCTGCTCGGGGGATGGAGAGAGCCCGAGGGCTGGGTCCGCTGTCACCAGCCGAGTGCCACTGGCTTAGGGCACATGCAGGCTCCCAGACGTCCGAGACCCTGCTGCCCCGCTTTCATGGGAGTGGTGAGGGTCCCGAGAGCCCGACCAGCCAGCTTCCGCCTTCATGGCCCTGCAGGAAAGTTGGCGTCTCCAAGCACGTGAGCCACGTGGGGTGGTGGAGCCGTGGGTGGCAGAGACTTGGGGTGCCGAGCTGCAGTGGGGCGTGCCTTGAGTCATGAAGCCCAGGGAAGGGGGTCCGTCGGCCACCCCACACGCCAGGAGCCCCACGTGGCGGCCCTTCCCCTGGGCTCCCCCCCACGCAACCCCCCAGCTGGAGCCTGTCATCTGACCTAGTCCAGCGACACACAGCTCAGTGTTGGCCATGCCCTGTGCTGACGCCGTGCTGTGCAGATGAGGTTGGTCTTCGTAACTGCGCTGTGTCTGAGCCAGCGGCTCCAAAACACGTCGCCACACGGTTTCTGCCACGTCCCTCACGCTCAGCGGGCCCGGACCCCGATGCTGCTGAGAGAGAGAGAGACAGAGAGAGAGGGAGGGACACCGAGACCGCCCTCCCGCTCCCCGCGCCTGCACACGCCCCAGCCACGTGTCCCGGGCCGGCGGCGCCGGCCTCTCCGCAGCTGCTGGGCTGGCAGTCAGATGCTCTCAGCGGTTTCTAGATTTTTTTTTTAAAAATGAAAGGAAGCCATTAATCACTGTCTCGAGGTGTTTTGCCGGCTTGTGGACCAGGTTTCTATGGCATGAATAATATGTCAGCCATTGAAAGCATGTGACCTGAAAGGGGTTGGGGTTTTTTTTTGCCTCAGGAAGTTAGTGAGAGATGATGAACAGGTTACTAATTGTTCCCCAGTAAAAGATGTATTGCTCAGAGGTGTCCAGGGGAAGTTTTCCCCGAACAAAGCCGATTTTTCAAGGTGCCTGCGTTGTAGGAGACGGCTGGCGGGGGGTAGGGGGGCGAGGGGTGGGCCGGGTGTTCTGAGCCCAGACGGACACAGTGGAGTGTGTGCGGGCCCCGGGGGTGCGAGTGGGGGGTGCAAGGGTCTGGGCAGGCCCTGGGGGTTTGTCTCTTCCCAGGGACGGCGAGGGGGGCGGGGTGTCAGGCTGGGGGAGTGGCCAGGGGATTAGAACGCACACACCCCGCCCAAACACACACCGCCCTACCCCCCAGGGCGCAGTGCAGGCAGACTGGGCCCTGTGAAAGGGCAGGGGACAGCAGCTCACCCTGGGTGACCCCCACAGCCACTGCTCCGTGTTGCGGTCTCTCTCACAAGGCGCCGGCTTCAGAGAAGCTCTCACTCCCGGTGGGAAGTGCGGACAGTGAATGTGGGTGGACGTGCTGGGGCTGTGGGCGCTCAGCTGGTGGTGGAAGAACTTTCTGGAAAGTGCCCCGCAGTCCCTCAGTGGACGTCCATCTGCACCTGGGGCTGTGTGTGTGTTGGGGGGTCCCCGGGACGACACAGGTTGCAGTGCCCGGGCTGCCCTGTGCCTGTGGCCCCCGGGGAGCCCTCGCGCCCGAGGTCTGCTCATCTGCCTCCCGGGACGCCAGGCGGGCGAGCTTCCCGCAGCTGTGCCCCTGCACCGCTCACGGGGCCCTTCCAGTCTGTTCATTTCTTAGTCTCCCTCCTTGTCTTGGTTGATTTCTCTTTTGACGTCCATGCAGCGAAATCCCCTCCTTGTGGTACTCAGTTCTGTGCGCTTGACAAATGCGTCGGCCCCTGCCCACCACCGCAGTCGGGGTGCGGACCCTCGGTCACCCCAGACTCCCGCACGCCGCCCCTGGTCGTGAACCGCCCCCGTCCTCCCAGCCCTGGCACCCACAGATTTGCTTTCTGTGCTTGTCATCCTGCATTTTAAATCGTCACCTACGTAGAATCACACAGTACGTGGGTGGCTTTTCGGGTGTGGCGTCTGTCACACGGGCCCTGAGTATCTGTCCCTGTCGGGCGAGTCCACAGGTGGTTCTTCCTTCCTGGTGTGAAGATTCCGTGGGGCAGGGTGCCTCAGTGTTTCTGTGCCCCAGGTGTTGGACGGGGGCTTGTTTTCCGTGTTTGGCAGTGACGAGTAAAGCCTCTAAAGGTTTGCGGGCAGGTCTCAGCGTGATCCGCGCTGTTGCTTGTCCTGGGTGAGGGCCCCAGAGCGAGGCTGGCGGATCCTCGGTGACTGTGTGTGTGCGGAACCGCCCGGCTGGTGCCCACCGGGTGAGGGCGAGGGTCCCAGTGCCCTGCGTCCTTGCCTTGAAAGGTATCGATTGGAAGAGGTTTCAGCAGCTGCAGCGCATATTCCTGCTGTGGTTTGATCTGCGGTTTTCTTTGTACGGGGTCTCGGGCGCCGGCGGAGGGACAGGGGCTTCATCTGTGCCCGTGTGAGCCGGGATCTTGCGAGAAAGAGCTTATGGGCCCTCGGAGCGAGGGGGGGGGTGGCCAGCCTCCCTACAGCCTCTCGAGGAAAATGTTGTATTGTCTCATACCGTGATTGTAGAATTCAGAAAGATTTCTTCTTCTTAGGGAACATTCTTTGTCAAAGTCGCTGTTTGCCCAGACGGCTTATGAGCAAACACCGCTAATCTTGAAACTGAAGCTTCTCCGACCTGTCCTTCCCCACTCTTGCTCTCGGGTGGTCAGGTGCCCAGCCTGTCCTTGCAAAGCATCATCTGCCCCAGCCCTTGCGTGTGGTTGGTGGACGTGACACAGCCCCCTCCCCCTCTCTCCCCAGGCGCCCAATCGCCAGCTCATGACGTACTGGCTGCAGGAGCTGCAGCAGAAGAGATGGGAGTACTGCAACGGCCTGGACGGGGCGCAGCGGGCCAGCAGGACCTCCCCCACCCCGGGGGACGCCTCTAAGGGCCTCGTGGCCAGAGACAGCACAGGTGAGCCCAACACAGGTGAGCCCAACACAGGGGGGGCCGGTGGCAGCTGGGACACAGTGACCGGGCCGAGCAGGGGAGCGCAGAACGAACATCGCGGCGATGGCCCCTCGTGAACGGGCAGCTTTCCGCCTTTCCTCTGCGTCCAGATGTGGGTTCCAGCCCAGTGATAACCGCGGGCGGGTGCCTCGTTCCCAAGCCTTCGGTCTTGATGTTCGGGTCGCAAAGATGTGTGCCTGTTGGCGGAGCTTTTTTAAAAGCCACTGTCATAGTGCATTTGACGAAAAGAAGCTGTGCCCTCCACAGAGGCTCTGGGGCCCTGGAGGCAGCAGGGGCAGGGACCCCCGGACGTCCTGTGGGACAGGCTCCCGCAGACCCGGGGAGCTGAGGCTGCGACCCGAGGAAGCGTAACAGCCGTGGCCCACAGCTCACTCACGGCTGCAGTGGGGGCAATTGCAAAGACCGTGGAAGGTCTGCCCTGGCCGGGCAGCCCTGTCGATTGGAGGGTCGTCCCTTACACCAGGAGGCTGCGGGTTCGATGCCCGGTCACAGGAGCAAACTGATCGATGTCTCTCTCCCACCCCTGCATAAAATCAATGAACGTACCTCAGGTGAGGATGGAAAAAAGGACAGAGCAGGTCTGACCGCAAACCCCTCCAGTGCAGACGCTCTGCCGCCGAGGCCGTGAGGTGAGGCTCACGGCACCAGTCCTCTGCACCCGTGTCCCTCAGGCAGTTCCCCGAAAGCCCGTGTCGGCCCGGTGTCTGGGAGAAGCCAGCCGCTCTGCTTTGACTCAGGTAGCTGTCACTCGGCCATCTCAGTACTGAACACCAGGCAAAAATAACAGTAACGGCAGAACCCGGAAGGAGCGGCTGTTTCCCCTCAAGTAGTTGCACTTAGCAACCTTCGCCAGCATCCTCCCCGGCCTGGGCCCCTTCCCTCCGCCCCCAGGGTCCCGACTTCCCCGGGAGGCCTCTCCACTGTGGGCCGGAGCTGCTGCAAGGGCTGCGGCTTTCTGGGTGATCTCGGGGTTTTCTTGTTTTTTTTTAAAGATTTTTATTTGTCTTTAGAGGGGAAGGGAAGGAGGGAGGGAGAGAAACATCAATGTGTGGTTGCCTTTCATGCGTCCCCTGCTGGGAACTGGCCTGCAGGGAACCAGCCTGCAACCCTGGTATGTGCCCTGACTGGGAACCGAACCGCGGTTGTCTGGTTCGCAGGCCGGTGCTCAATCCACTGAGCTACACCAGCCGGGGCTAAGGTTTTCTGATGAGGCTCTGACCCCGGGCAGGGGCCGCTGCCACCTTGCTGCCAGCCCACAGCGAAGGAAGGGGCTGCACTCGGCTGCTGTGGGGCGTCCTGTTTATTTCCTGGCTTGGCTTGGACACTCAGTGCCTGGCCCAGCCCGGGTGGCTGCGCTGGTTAGCGAGTCCTGCCCCACACGGGCAGGTTGCGGGTTCAATCCCCGGTCAGGTCACAGACAAGCAGTACCCGTGAGTGCGTAAACAAGCAGGACAACAAAACAATGTTCCTCTCTTTCCCTCTCTCTCTCAATAAATAAACATTAAAATACACAATTGTGCTGCTTCGCCCCGAAGGGTGTGGGAAAGGCCAGCCTCTTCCAGGAGCCGGGCAGGGGGTCAGTTCCGCCCTCCTGCCTCCTGGGTCCCTGCACCGGCTGCGGCCGGTCCCCCGCAGGGCAGGCGGCCGCGTTCACGCCCTGGCTGTGGGCGCTCGTGTCCTGACAGGTGGCTCAGGTGGGGGAGACTCTCCCTCCGGGTGGTGTTTGAACTTGTTTCTGTTTGTGGGAAGAGCAGCTGCCGCAGAGGGAAGAGTGAGAGGGGAAGGGCCGTGCCAGGCAGCCCTGAGGAGGGGCTGGGTGCGTGTCCTCTGGTTGGACGGGCTTGGCTTCCTGGCTGCATCGCCCAGCAGCTCCGTCCTGCGTCCGTTTTCACGGGAGGAAGGAAGTGTCGACCAGGGGTGCGGTGAATCGCCATCTGCTGCGAACCTGCCTCTTCTCACCGGGCCGGGGCGGTGGGGGGGCTCATGGGGAGATTACAAACCACTTGTGCGTTGGAGGCCTTCTCGTGGAAGCTTCAAAAAGCACGTGTTTATCGTGGGAAGTTGGAAGCCTGCGGAGGGAGGGGAGCTCACTGCCACCCCGTGTGTATCGGTCGTTTCAACAGTGACTCCGGGACCCATGTGACATTGCAGCCCCGCCCACTCGGTTCTGTGGCTTTTGAAGCAAGTGGCATGTTATTCGATGCAAATGTTACCGCTTCTGTGCTGAATAGCAGAGTTTTGTCATTCCCAAGCAGGTCTCTCGTATAAAACTTCAACCTTAAAAAGCCCAACAGCTCGTCAGAGGGTCAGAGTGTGAAGCCCGATCTCACTTTAGCTGTTTGCCTGTGAACACACGAACTGCTCGCCTGAGACATGTATTACAGATACAGCAGATGTGTATGTTTTAGTATTCCCCCCTTTTAAAAAAGATTTCATTTATTTACTTTGTGACAGAGGGGAAGGGAGGGAGGAACAGAGGGAGAGAAACATCAGTGTGTGCTTGCTCCTTATGTGTCCTCTACTGGGGATCTGGCCAGCAACCCAGGCATGTGCCCTGACTGGGAATCGAACCTGCAGCCTTTTGGTTTGCAGGCCCGTGCTCCATCCGTGGAGCCACAGCAGCCAGGGTTCCCCCCACTTCTTCGAGAAAAGGGAGTCGGGTGCGATCAGATCCACGCTTTGCGTTTTGCACCTACCAGCCCGTGTCGGACTTCGCTCCTTATCAGGGTGGTGAGGGATGCCGGTCACAGCCTGTGTCGGGTGGACTGAGCTACCGGGCACCGGGGGGAGCCCGGTCTCCTCCATCCCGACATCTGGTGTCTGGAGCACGTCACAGCCTTCCTCTGAGAAGCGGTGACCCGCCTTAGACCCGGTCTAAGGGTCTTCTCGCAGTCCGCGTTAAAACCACGCGGCTGTGTTTGGGACTGGTTCTGACACAGCGCACCTGTCCGGGTTTCCTGGACGATGCCGACTTCCCCTTTGACTGAGTGCCCGGCCTTTGTCTGCCTCTCTTTCAGATCCCCCCCGTCCACACCCAAACGCCTCTGCAGAGAAAGCCAGGAGCGTCCTAGCTGTGGAGACGGCCCCCGTGGAGCTGGTGGGGGAGCAGGCCGCCACGCAGCCGGCCCCCGGGCCCCCGAACTCCATCAACTTCTCCCTGAAGCAGTGGGGCGTGGAGCTGAAGTGAGTGTCGGGGACGCCGGCCAGGGTGCCGAACCAGGGGGGCCGCCGACGGTGCTGGCTGCAATTTCGCGCGTGCATTTTAGCGTTCGTCCTGTCCACGTCTGTTCCCAGTCACGGATTTTCCTCCTGCTGGGCCGTGCACGCCTGGTGCTTTCTCCGTAGTAGGAGTCCGCACCTTTCCAGGTGCTGGGTGTCTTTGTGTTCTATAAATATTCTTGAACTCTGCTCTGGAACAAACTGTAATCACTCAGTAGCAGTTGGATACTTTGGAAATGCCCATTTCAGCTTTGCTAGGTGGGACTGCCCTGCGTGTGAGCACGCTCCCCGATGCCCCCGGCACGGGTGTGTGCCCGCTGTGGCAGGTGGGCCGGACACTGTTCCCACCCCCACGTCATCTCCAGGACTGTTCCCTCCCAGTCTCGGGTGCTGTCTCACACACAGCCTGCAGTCCCACACTGGACGCTTGGGGAGCCCCGAGGCACGTTCTTTCCTGTCCAGCTCTCCTGGACCACGCCCCCTGGGTTCTCTGCCTGCCCGGGGCCTGGACACTGTGTCCAGGCTGGGAGCTCAGCCCCCCCCCTTTTGTCCCCCTCAGGCCACTGCCTGGTGTCCCGCGCCTGAGAAGCCCTGTTCGCTCCACTTTGTTCAGCTTCGGGTTTTCTCAGGGGCTGTGAGTCCAGTCCTCTCATTCTGCCTCCCCTGGAAGCAGACATCCCCACCTAGTTTCTGAATATTTTACTGAAATATTTTCAGTGCACACACATGTGCAGACCATGGCACAGAGACTGCATGGGCAGCCCTGCCCTACTGGATGGTTCTGTCTTATTTCTGCTGCGTCGGAGACACTCAGGGCCCTCTCTCCTCCACGGTCCCCTTCCTTCCTTGCCCTTCACAGAGCTGTCCAGCATCTGCTTGGTGATTACCGCTCACACGTAGGTTTTTAAAAAGTTTTACGTGTGTGTCTATCAATAAATGTCTCTTAATAGCATTATCCTGAGGATGTAATACCCTGTTGCATAGCTCATTCTGTGATTTTTTTTTTTACTCACCATTTAAAAAATATTGATCTGTATGGTACATGTAGCATTAGCTAGAAAATGGGTTCTGCAGGGACAAGCATTTTTATTGTGTTCACTGGCTCATCCTAAGTGCCTGCAACATTGTAGCCGCATAGGAAGTATCTGTTGAAGGAATGGGCTCATTTCAAAAGTGTATAACCTTTGCAATAACTGTTCCGTGGTTTGTCAGTTTCCCTGTTGATGGAAGTTTGTTACATTCTTTTGCTAACCCTGTAAGGAATGCTCTTGTTTGTGGCTCTTTGCACACACCTGCAAGACCTCTCCCAGAAAATGCAGGGCCTTGAGGTGGGCCGCCCTGGCCTGGCTTGAGTGTCACGATGTAAGACCCTCCCCAGCACCCGCAGCGGCAGCAGCAGCAGCAGCGTGTGCCTGCCCGCCCGCGGGGCAGAGCGCCCTCACCAGCGTCCGATGTTACATTAATCAGATCTTTTCACTGTGGCCAACCCCCTGCAGGTGCAATTAGGTTTTCGCAACAACATTTCCTTGTTCTGTCCCGACAGAAACTCCATGTCTTCTCTGCGGCCCGGAAGAGGGCATGAGAGTCGGAAGAGTGTGTTTTACACCCACGAAGAGTGGGAGCTGCTGGACCCGAGCCCCAGGGACCTGGAGGAGTCCGCGGCCCAGGAGGAGCGGAGGAAGCAGCCGCCCGAGGGAAGCAAAGGTGCGGTGTGCGCAGGCGCGGTGTGCGCAGGCGCGGCTTCTGTGGCCGGGCCTTCCCCACGCGGCCACCTGTCGGCCACCAGGGGTGCGGAGGCCCTTCCAGCAGGTGTTTGTTTGGAGAAGCACAAGGCCCAGCAGGGCGGGGGTGGGGGCGTGTTCTCTTTGGGGGGGTGAACCCTAAAGGCCCAAAAATGAGGTGCTACAGGAAATGAACGACCGTCCCTCCTGCGGCTCCTAAACTTTTCAAGGAGATGGGATATCCACCGTGCTCTTTACAGAAATACTGGCTGAAAAACCCAAGCAGGTCATTTATAGAGATGTGATACGTACCAGGAAGCAGAGGACAGGGGTCCGGAATTCTGGAGAAACCTCCCCTGTGTCTATGCTCCTACCTCCCCCTGCAGCCCGCACCAGCCGGCTTATCTTCCGGGGAATTCTAGATGTCAATCTAGTGCCCGTAAATATTTTAGTATGTGTCTCTACGAGACAGGGACTCTTAAAAAATTATAGCCACAAAACAACTTCGTTATTGTACCTAAAAGCAGGTACCATGAATCTCGAATAGTATCTCATGCCACTAGAGCAGAGGCCGGCCCACACTCAGGGTCGAGGGGTGAGGGTGGGTTGCATGCGCCACATCCGGAAAAGCAGAGAGGGATCGGTCCAATCCATTCGCTTGGGTGTCTTAGATTTTTAAAATGTATTTGTAGAGAGGGGAAGGGAGGGAGGAGAGGAGGAGAGACATCAGTGTGTGGTTGCCTCTCACACGCCCCCTACTGGGGAACCATCCCACAACCCAGGCATGTGCCCCGACTGGGAATCGAACTGGCGACCCTTTGGTTTGCAAGCCTCTGCTAAGTCTGCAGAGCCATACCAGCCAGGGCTTAAGCACCATTTTTAAAGGAAGAGAATATAGTCGTGCTTTTGTCTGAGTCCTGCCTGGGAACCTGCCACCCAGCCTCCTTGGCAGGGCATCCTCACAGGGGGTCCCGGGGCAGGGACGCCGTGTTCCCAGGGCGCTGCGGGTGCTGAGAACCTGGGTCTCCAATTCCCTTTCCTCCTGAAAGTACCCGTGACGTGAACACCGAGGGCCGGCCGTGAGCGTTTAGAAGTACTGATGCACTTTGTAAAATAACAGCGTCCCCAGAGAACGTTGGGAGAGCTGCAATGCGCACCATTCTGTCGCCGATTCCTTGTGGGTGCCCATGTGCGCTGGGCCCTTTTTATCTGTGTTAAGGCGGAGATTGGGCAATTGGACGACAGTGTGTTCTTTACTAGTGGTCACGGGGCGGAGTTTTGTAAGGAAGCCTCTTCCGTGGGGGAGTGTGTCCGACTCAGGCACGGGTGTCACTGAGACTGAGGGGGCAGGGGCGGCTCTGGGGGCGCCGCAGGCTCACTGTGGAGTGGTGGGCGGGCACCCGGCCCGAGCTGTGGGGCTTTCCCAGAGAAGGACCGGGTCCGCCCTTGAAAAACAAGTTCTGTTTGTCCGTAGGGGTAACTGGCTCGGGATTTCCCTTTGATTTTGGACGTGTTCCCTACAAAGGAAGGCGCCCCCTGAGAGACATGATTGGCTCGTACAAAAGTCGTCACAGCAGCGGGGACCCTGCCCCTGAGGGGACGCCGGGCGGCGGAGCGGCCAGGCCGGCCTCCGAGGTGCAGCTGCAGGTGCAGAGCCAGCAGGAGGAGCTGGAGCGTTTGCAGAAAGACCTGTGCAGCCAGAAGGTAAGGCTGCCCCTCACAGCCCCGCTCCCCGTGGCCGTGGCCGTGGCCGCTGGGCCTGATCACGTGTTCCAGCACGAGCCTTGCCCAGGGGAGCGCGGACCCCTCTCGCAGCCAGAGGAGGATGTTGTCTGCACCCCACTCTGCCCCGCACTCAGCGTCACCCAGAGCCCAGGAGCAGTAATTAGACGCCTTTCCCCCCCGTCTCGTTAAACAACAGTTTCCTTCCGAGCTCGTGAGACCTGACCCCCTTCGTGGCTGGGCGGGCCGGTGACCCGATGTCCAAGCTCACGGCGTCGGGCGCGGGCGGGCGCCCACCCGGAACCATTGCGAATTACAGTGTGTGTGCCCATCACTTCCTGTTTCCTGTGATTGTCCCCCGCCGCCGGAGGTCTTGCTGCAGTAGGTTTTTTTTTCCTCTTGGCCTCTGAGATCCTTCAAGAGGAAGTTCGGTGTTAAACGGTGTTACAGCTTCCAGTAACAGTGCTGCGTTCGCTCAGGTTCCAGCGCCGTGCGACCCTCTCACTGTTCTGCTCCCCCACCCCTCCGCTGCAGGAGCTGGTGCGTCTGCTGCAGCAGACCGTGAGGTCCTCCCAGTATGACAAGTACTTTGCCAGCAGCCGGCTCTGTGACGGCATCCCCCAGGACACACTCGAGCTCCTGCACCAGAAGGATGACCAGATCCTGGGCCTCGCCGGCCAGCTGGAGAGGTGCGGCCTGGAGAAGGAGGGCCTGCGGCAGGAGCTGCGGACGCTGAAGGGCGCGGTGGGCGAGCTCAACGAGAAGCTGGGGATGCTGATGGAGACCATCCAGGCCAAGGACGAGGTCATCATGAAGCTGTCACGGCAGCTCAGCGAGTGCGAGGACGGCGCGGCCTCCCCCACCCTGCCGCCTGCCTCTCCCACCACCACCCCTGCTGGCCGGGATCAGCTGGAGCTGGACCGGCTGAAGGTGAGAGCCCGCGTGGGCTCTGATTGCTGGGACCAGAGGCCCTAGACCCCTCCCCAGTGTCTCCGTTGATGCTACGGGCCTCCATGAGCTACAGTCAAAAACTAGTCTCCTGGGGAGTTTCCCCGGGGAATAGGAGGCAGCCCAACAATGTTGCCATTGCGCCAGCAGTTTCAGCCCTCTCCCCTCTCTGAATTCCAGTCCCACTGAGACGTCTGTTTATACACTAGGGCTTCCCCTTCCACATGACCTGCAGAGGCTGCATGTCGCCCCTCTGTGGCCAGTTCAGGAAAATCACCACACGAAATAAACTCGTTTCCCCCTCCCCTGGACACAGCAGTGGGCCCTGCCCGCCTGCGGCCCCTGTCAGGGGTGGCCCCAAAGACTCCTCAGAAACTGCCTGATAATCAGCTTTCAGTTCCTCAGGACCAGCGGCAGCTCAGCAGGGCTGTTTGGCGAGGCAGCGAAATATCAGTGGTGTGAATAGTCAACATTCGACCAATGTGAATCGATGCATTTTTTTTCAACAGGATAACCTACAGGGGTACAAAACCCAAAATAAGTTTCTAAATAAGGAAATCTTGGAACTCTCAGCACTGCGCAGGAATGCGGAAAGGAGAGAGAGGGATCTCCTGGCCAAGGTGGGTCAGGGTGGGTGTGTCCCTTTACCTGGCGGCAGGTGAGGTTCGGGAGCCATGCAGAACATGCTGGAAACCCAGCTCAGGGCCCAGGCCGGCAGGGAGGTGGTCGTGGACGCCAAAGTCTATGTAAGGTAGCCACGCTGCCTGTTTGTCTGCGGTGGAGACAGAGGGCACGTGGAAGGTGCCCCCAGAACAAACAGTGTTCCCAGTGTGCAGGTTCAGGTCCCCTGTGTCTGGGATGTGTGCTGTCGGGCTGGGTGGGTGTGCCCATTCTCTGCCAGTGGAGCTGGGGAGGCTGATGCGGCCTCCTCAGTGGGGGCCCAGCAGGGTCGCCAGGACGGCCAGACACCGCTGTGGCGGCAGCTGGCTTCCCCAAGGGTGCCGACGTCACACACACTGCAGGGACCGTGCTGTGAAATTCCGGGGTGCGGCACCCCCGGGGTCACCCCCAGAGCCGCCTCCCAAACCTTGTTCTGCGTGGACCCCTGCCCCCAAGGGTGACTGCGTTTGGTCTGCCTGGTGCGGTGGCGTTTGGGGGCCAGTCCTGGGTCATTGTCCTCAGGTGTCGATGTAGTTTGGCTGAGGCTGCCCACCTGCCCCGCCCAGAACGGAGGCTTGTGTGGGCATCTCAGCAGCACCAGACCCCGTGGAGGGAAGGAGCCTGGGGCAGGGGGTGTTGCCCATCACAGCCTCTGGCACGCATTCGTCCCTGGTCCCCGGTCTGGTGTCCCTGGCTCCCTCCCCGGCACTTTGGGGCTTGTCCCTCCTTGGGAGCCGTGGTGCGGAAGGCTTGCTTTTCCTGGCTCCTCCCCCCGGGAAAGTAACCGCCACTTTCTCTGCAGTACTCCAGCCTGGAAGCCAAGCTCTGCCAGATAGAGAGCAAGTACCTGATCCTGCTGCAGGAGGTGAAGACCCCCGTCTGCTCCGAGGAGCAGGGCCCTGCCCGCGACGTCATCGCCCAGCTCCTGGAGGACGCGCTGCAGGTGGAGGGCGCGGAGCAGCCGGAGCAAGCCTTCGTCAAGCCTCACCTGGTCAGGTAACGGCAGCGGCGGCCGCAGGTGCAGCCGTGGGGCCAGGGCTCTGTCCCCTTGCAGGCTGCCCGGGGCCCCGCGGCCCCTTCTTCCGCCGTCCTGGCCCCCCAGGTCCGTGCGCCGCATCTCTGCTGCCCCTCCCGTCACTGTGCCTCTCCGGCCAGCTCTGCTGTTTCTCTTTTGCCTTGGAGGCTCCCGGGGACACTGGGCTCATCCAGCCCCTCGGGGTGACCTCCCCGTCTGGGGCCCTGGAACTCAGTCTGTCACCGGCACGTTCCTCCTGCCACCTGCCATGGCGTGACACCACCGCAGGCCGCGTGTCTCTTCCCCCAGACAGCTCCTGCACGGTTTTCCCCCCTGTCTTTGCGCCTTTCACAGCATTGCTGTTCACACGTAAAAGCCACACATGCACATGTATGACACACACATTCGTGTAGCCAGGTGTGTCAGCCATGTTGTGGTGTTGCTTGTATCCACTGAGCTACACCAGCTGGGGCTGTTGTGGTTTTTTTTAAAGATTTTATTCACTTAATTTTAGAGAGAGGGAAAGGGAGGGAGAAAGGGAGAAAAATATCAATGTGTGGTTGCCTCTCATGTGCCCCCTACTGGGGACCTGGCCTGCAACCCAGACATGTGCCCTGGCTGGGAATCAAACCGGCCACCCTTTGGTTTGCAGGCTGGCGCTCAATCCACTGAGCCACAGCAGCCGGGGCCAGAATTAGTTTGTTTACTGTGTCATATCAAGAAGAAATTTAATGGGCCCTGGCCCGGGTGGCTCGGTCAGTTGGAGTGGTGTCCTGTAACCAAAAGGTTAAAGGTTCGATCCCTGGTCTGCCAAGTACAGGAGGCAACCAGTCAATGCTTCTCTCTGTGTGAAAAAACACCCTCAAGTGAGGGTTAAAAAGAAAGAGAGTTAAACTTAATTTGTTCCCACGCGGAGAGCGAGTCACCCTCACGCTGCTTGTGCCAAACTTCACTTCCTCACGGGGTGGAAGGGGCCTGGCTGTGCGGGAACCGCCCCAGCTCAGTCCCAGGTCCCCTCTTCGGTCCTCCTGCCGAGACCCCACGCTTCTGTTTCCCGTTGCTCTTGTCCCCAGTGAGTACGACATCTACGGGTTCAGGACGGTGCCGGAGGACGACGAGGAGGAGAAGCTGGTGGCCCGGGTGCGGGCGCTGGACCTGAAGAGCCTGCACCTGACAGAAGCGCAGGAGGTGTCCACCGGCGTCAAGTGGGAGAACTACCTGGCCAGCACGGTGAACCGCGAGATGGCGCGCTCGCCGGAGCTGAAGAGCCTGATCCGCGCCGGCATCCCGCACGGACACCGCTCCGCCGTGTGGAAGTGGTGCGTCGACCTGCACACCCGCAAGTTCAAGGACCGCGCGCCGCCCGGCTACTTCCAGGCCCTGCTGCAGAAGGCGCTGGAGAAGCAGAACCCGGCCTCCAAGCAGATCGAGCTGGACCTGCTGCGGACGCTGCCGAACAACAAGCACTACTCCTGCCCCACCTCTGAGGGCATCCAGAAGCTGCGCAACGTGCTGCTGGCCTTCTCCTGGCGGAACCCGGACATCGGCTACTGCCAGGGCCTCAACAGGTGCGCACCTGCCGCCCCGCCGCTGCTCCGGGCTCCCGGCTGGGCCCGCAGCTGCCCCGCCTCCTGCATAGCCAAGAAAACTCAGTGTTTTTGTGGAAGGAAGGAGCTGCCTGCAGTCATCTGGTTCTCACATTTTTTTTTTTTCCGAATTTTCACTCCAGGGTATGGGTATTGATTTGAGGGGTTGGGAGGAGAGAGAGAGAGGAACCTTGATGAGTTGCCTCACATACACCCTCTGACCGGGGATCGAACCCACCACCTTCTGGTGCAAGGGATGCTGCCCCAGTAGAGCCCTCGGGCCCAGGCTTGGCTAGTTTTAGCTGGGCGGTCCCCCCAGTTCTAGAATAATGGGGGGAAACATGCCTTCAGAGAGTACGAAGAACACTGAATGTTCTTCACTGATGTGAGACTGTTAGATTTCTCATTTTTTCCTTCCTTGTGGTTCTTGTCATGTGCGGGCTTTGACCGGAGTGTCGCCTCACGCGTGTCTGGTGTGTGACGTGAACACGGTGGCCCTCCTGCGCCTGTAGGGTCTTCGTGAGTCGGGAAGGGGCCCGGGCAGAGCACCCGTGGGTTGAAGCCGAGCCCTGGGAGGGCCCGGTCTCGTTCCTCTCGGCGCCTTTCCCAGTTTCCGTGGGCAGAGGACTGAGCGTCCGACGAGTCTTCCTCCTGACCTGACCCTCTCCAAGCCGAGCGGGGGCGGGGCAGGCCGCACGCTGGGGGGCTGTGGTGCCGTCTACTCCTCCTCTGTCCCCGGTCTGTTTGTCTTACTGCTGTCACCACAGCCACCCCTTCAGAGTCCTGTCTGAGTTGTGGCACCAGGGGGCCCGGGCTGTGGGGAACATGGGCAGAGGACAACGCGGACGGACACTCTGAGCTCTCCGGGAATTCCCCGTCAGCCAGGCTCCCAACGCGGACGCTCCGGCTGCCGGTGGCCGGCCCTGTCCTCCCTGCTGGTCCGTGGCCGCCGTCCCCACTCTCCGCCACCCGGGGCCTGTGCCAGCTGACCCAGTGCCCTTCTCATAACCTTTTAGTCTCACCCGATGATGGTGTCCTGTCACCTAAGGAGGGAAAAGAGAAGTGGCTCTGGGGCTTTCCCGTGAGTCACACACAGGAACCCCCTGCTCGGCCGAGGGTCTGGATTTCTGAGACAGAGCCTTCCCTGCCTCACTGTCCCTCCCCTGCCCAGCGCTCCCAGCTGGCCAGGTCACCCCTGGGGGCTGGGCCTCAGGGTCCGTGGGTCTGAAGCTCCTCTCTAAGCAAAACACCCTGTGTTTGCCTCTGACGTCAGCTCTGGGATCTTTGTGCATAAAAGGATGAGTCGGAAGGCCTTGAACCACAGACTCAAAGAATTAGCCGCCGCAGCAAAAGTCGCGGAGCCTGAAAACTCCTTTTCATGAGGCTGGTGGATTGCTGGGAAGCTGTCATTGTCCACAGGCTGAACCTGAGTGCAGGGGCAGGAGTGTGGCCGTGCAGAGGGGCCGGCTGGGTGTGCGGGAGCCGGAGCCGTGGCTGGGGGGACGCGGCCCCTGCTGGCGGCACTCACCACGTCTCCCTGTGCTTGCAGGCTGGTGGCCGTGGCCCTGCTGTACCTGGAACAGGAGGACGCCTTCTGGTGCCTGGTCACCATCGTGGAGGTCTTCATGCCCCGGGACTATTACACAAAGACACTCCTGGGGTCCCAGGTACGGCTGCCCACACTGTGCTTCTGCCGGCCACCTGTGGACCGAGAGCGGGAGCGCAGCCCGAGGGAAGCCTGTAGGCCAGGGTTCCTGGGCGCTGCCGGCTCAGCCCTCATTGGCCCCAGTGAGGCCCAGGAGGCGGGGCCTCGGGGGCAGGGCTTCAGGGATAGGCCGCTGTCCGCTAGCGAGGGCTCACCCAGGGCCCGGCCCCAGGGTGAACCGCTCTTCCCGGTCACAGCTCCGCACTCCCTCCCTGTGTGCTTCCTCCGCGTGCTGCAACCCAGGGGGCCTTCCTGTCCTGGCCTCCGAGCAGCCTGGGTCAGCTGCCTGGTTGCTCAGCTGCTGTCACCAGGGTGACCGCCTGCCGGGGAAAGTCCCTCTGCCTAAATGGCCGGAGCTCTGAGGTTTGCAGCTCCGCCGTGGTAACGGGTGGGCCCGCAGCCAGGCCCCCCTTCGGGGAACTGTGAGGAACGGCTCCCTCACAGGCACCCCTGCCTCAGTTTCCCCATTTGCAAAAGTGTCTGAGGTGGAATTCTGATGATGTACGGAGAGTTTAATGCTGACGACATGGCCAGAGCTCAGTGATGTGATCGGTAGCTTCGTCACAGGCCCAGGGGAAGGCCGGTTTTAATTGTGCGTTTGAGATCAGACCTGCATTCGGTTGTCTTGCAAACACGCAACCTCTGAGGACATGCCCCCCCACCCCTACCCCCCACTGACTTCAGAGGAGATGCCCCCAACCCCCCACTCCCCCCACTGGGAAAGCACCCACTCTCCGGAAAGAGAATGAGTGTTTTTCGTTGTCCCCTGTTGTCTTTTTTTCCCCCTTTATGCTGACACATTTCAGTGTCAGAGGACAGCCTGGTGGGCTCTCCCGCAGCCCGAGCACCCTCCTGTGTCCCCACGGGCGGGTCCCCGTCCAGGTCCTCAGCTGAAGGCCTGCAGTGTGTCTGCCTGCTCCCCCAGTGGGTGTGCGAAGACCGAGCTGTGCTCGCAAACCCCTGGTAGACGCCTCCCGTTCGGACCCAGAGCTCCCCGCTCCCCCCCACCCCTCCGTGGTGCAGACCTTTGCCATCCTGTCTCTCTTGTTCAGGGCAGCTGGAGGCCCGGGGCCTTGCCAGGCGCCGAGGCTTCAGAGGCAAACAACACAGGTGCTCCTCACCCTCCCCAGCCCTCGGCCAAACCCCAGGCAGCCTCTCCATCTGCCGCCGGCCTGGGGGGAGAGAAGTCAGGGCCGGCCCTGCACTCCTGGCCAGAGGAGCCCCGCGGCTGTCGCTCGGTCCTGCGGTCAGCTGTCCTGCGCCCTGCCCACGTACAGCCCCTGGCAGGCAGCCCCCCGGGCCTGGCCCCCTGCCCTCTCCACGGTCAGGCGTGAGGCGCATGCCAGTACATAGCCGTCACCCGAACACTGAGGACCGAGTCACCCCGCCCTCTGCCCCGAGCAGGTGGACCAGCGGGTGTTCCGCGACCTCATGAGCGAGAAGCTGCCGCGGCTGCACGCACACCTGGAGCAGCACAAGGTGGACTACACCCTCATCACCTTCAACTGGTTCCTGGTGGTCTTCGTGGACAGCGTCGTCAGCGACATCCTCTTCAAGATCTGGGACTCCTTCCTGTACGAGGGACCGAAGGTGGGCGGGCTGGCGGCCGCTGCGTCTGTCACGGTGGGGCAGCCGGCTCCCGGGGACTCGGGAGGGGAGCCCTGGGCCAGAGCTGCCCAGGCGCCAGTGCCACCGGAGGGGGCTGGGGTCAGCGGGGGCCACTGGCTTGTCGTCGGAAGTGTGTGGAGCCCCAGCCCTGCCCTCGGGGGCTTCGCTGGCTTGTGGGCTGCGCTGCCCCCGATGAGATGGATGGCAGTGCGGCCCCATCGAGGACAACGTCCAGGGGCAGCGGTCAGTTCACACGGCCGGAGGCCGTGCGGAGCCACTGCGGAGCCTCATGCCCTGGAGCCTCCCGCACCGTCTGTTGTCTGCGTTTTAAAAATCAGGTCTTGAGGAACTAAATGATAAACTCGGATTATATAATGGAGAGCGTGTAGCAGAAGGTGATGTGAGAGCTGAAGGCGTGTGGCACCGAGCTGTTCTGTCCACCCTCGTCTCCTGGTCTCTCTTCTCAGTGTATAACGTGTTCTTCTCTAGGTCTTTTATGTACGTCTCAAATGTAGGCTTTTTGGTTTTTAGATTTTACTTATTTATGGGAAGGAGAGAGAGGGAGAGAAACGTCAAGGTGTGGTTGCCTCTCACACGCCCCCTACTGGGGACCGGGCCCACAATCCAGGCATGTGTCCTGACTGGGAATCGAACCGTATTTCTTTGGTTCTCAGGCCAGCACTCACTCCACTGAGCCACACCAGCCAGGGCTAAAATACAGGCTTTTTTAAAGAACTATCTTGGAGATAGTTCCATAGCAGGGCATATGGATCTGGGTTTTGTTTTGTTTTGTTTTTTGACTCTGCATAGTATTTCCATATACAGATGAACCAGAAATACACATAAGAGGCCCCAATGGAGTCTTTTTCGCATGTGCACCTGCGGGCCTGGGAGTGGACGTGCGGGGTCCAGAGCGGACCCGTCTGCGTCCTCACAGACAATGCCAAGTCGCCCTGCCACGGGCCTCCCCGAGGGCTGGTCTCACCAGCAGAGCAAGCGTGTGCGCCCCCCACTGCGGCCCACGCAGCATTGCAACCCGTTCTGTCGGGGCTGGAAGGCGTTCTCAGCCAGGGTTTGCCCGCTGTTTGCTGTGGGATCTGTCACAGAGGACGACCTGCTCAGACGCCGCCCACGGCTTCTCCCCAAACTGGTTGGACTTGCAGGGCGACCACGAGCCCCGTCCCTCTGGCCTCAGACGCAGCGTCCCCAAAACAAATCAGTAAAAAACGCACGTATTTTCACTCACTGGTCAGTGGTTCATAGCCACTGTCCCGTGGAGGTGGAAGCCGCCTGGCTGTGATTCTACGTAAAAACCATTTCTTGTTCTGGATGCATTCTCGCCCCAGAGGCCAGCTGCGTGTGAGGAGGGCCCCGCCCAGGCCCCGCCCACGCCCTGCCACGCCCAGTCCAGGCCCCGCCCCACCGGGACGGGCTTGGGCCGCAGTGGGGTTGCAAAACGCCAGCGTCCACTGCTCTGTGGGGAGGGCCCTGCCCGCTGGGGCTGCTCCTGACGCATGGCCGCCCCGGGCGCCTGGCAGCCGGGGCGCTGCTCTGCGCTCACCTGCCCTGTCCCTCCTCCCACAGGTCATTTTCCGTTTTGCCCTCGCACTTTTCAAGTACAAGGAAGAGGAGATCCTGAAACTGCAAGACTCCATGTCCATGTTCAAGTACCTGCGCTACTTCACACGCACGGTCCTGGACTCCCGGTGAGTCCCGGGGCCGGGGGAGGGTGGTCCACGCGTCCAGGACAGCGGGATCCTGATGCCCGCCGCCCGCACAGCGGCTGCCCTCGCGTCTCTGACTGGGGCCTGCCCCGGGGTTCCCCCCTGTGCCGCACACTCCGGCCCAGCCCCGCGGCCACGGCAGCAGGAGGATCTGACAGCTGTCAGTGTCCAGGGCCGGCAGGCCCTCTGCCCACCTCGAGGGCGGAACTGGCGGGGTGGGGTCGCCCCATGCTGAGATGGAGGAAGCCAGCCAGGGCTGGCCGGGTCTGGGAAGGGGCAGCTCAGGAGCCAGCGCGGAGACGTGGGACCAGACTGTGGGGAACCATGACACGGTTGGGCCGGGGCGGGTGTCTGTGTCGCAGGTACGGATCTCGGCCCCTGCATGCGCTGCCGGGGCTCCGCTTCTTCCTGAGTGTTCATGTCCCTTCAGGGTGGATGGGTGGGGGGCGCTTGTTGGGGTGGAGCGGGATCAGCTGCTCCGGGGGGGCCACGGGGGCCACGGGAGGGGTGGTGGCCTGGAGCAAGCAGACGGGAAAAGTGGGATCAGGTCCGAGAGAGTGGAAGACCCCTGCCACTCTGCTGCTCGCCCAGCTGTGCAGCTCTGGTGCTCCAGGTGGGGGCCGATGGGGACAGGACTGGTCACCTGCAGGCCAGCTGTTCCTTTGGCGCCACCTGTTGAGGGCTCAGGGTTCCTGTCCCCGGCCACTGGCTTCAGGAACTCCAGGGCACTGGATCAGGAGTTCCCAGGGGCATCAGCGCCCCAGACCGGCAGCAGAGGGTCTCCCAGGGTGATTAGGACTGTGGGCGCCCCCTGCCCCCCGCACCGAGCCCCCGTGTGTGAAGCTGCAAGCACACAGATTCTGCAGCTGAAGGTTTGGGGCTGCTCCCACATCAGGCCTCCCGGGCTCTGGGTCCCGTCCCCGCTGCCCCAGGCCTCCTGTGTGAGCATCACCTGAGCCCCACTGACCTCTGTCCTGTGTCCCCCCAGGAAGCTGATCGCCATCTCCTTTGGGGACCTGAACCCCTTCCGCCTGCGCCAGATACGCAACCGGCGCGCCTACCACCTGGAGAAGGTGCGGCTGGAGCTGACGGAGCTGGAGGCAATCCGGGAGGACTTCCTGCGCGAGCGGGACGCCAGCCCCGACAAAGGCACGCTGGTCAGCGACGAGGAGGAGGACACCTGAGCGGCCTGCCCTGCACCCAGGGGTGACCTACAGACAGAACGTCTCTGCCGTGGTCTGCCGGGCAGCTGGCCAGCGCACACCGCAGCCTCCGCTGCTCTCGGCCGGCGGGCTGGCTCTCATCGGTTTACGGCCGCCTTCCTGCCGTTCAGTCCCAGGGACCCGGCGGCCACTGCACCGATTGGCCGTGGGGGGTCCGAGCCCTGAGGAAGCCCCAGGCGGGCCGCCTCCTGTGCTGCGAGTCCTCTTCCCACGGGCCACTGGCATTTTCCGGGGACCCCCACTGGGAAGGACTCCCGGTGCTCAGACGCCCAGGCCGGAGTGTGGCCGCCCCTGTGGCCTGCAGTCAGTGCAAAGGAAGCGAATTTCTAGGAAAAGCAAGCACGTTGCTGTTCAGAACCGGCCCATAGACATCGCCCCAGCCTGCAGGTGGCCTCACGCGGCCCCCAGCTGCCTGGCCCCTGGCACCACACGAGGTCCTGCAGGAAGCTCTCCATCCGTCCGTCTGAGCCACGGCTCTCAGGGCGTCTCCAGCACAGACAGGACGGGGTCCCGGGGAGGCTGGCTCAGCGTCCTGCCAGCCAGGCCTGCCCCCAGCAGCCTTGGTCACCGGGGAGGCAGCGGTGCCTCTGCTGAGGGAGCAAGCAGCATCTGTGGCTTCCTCCATAGCAGCCAGTGTGCCCGCTGTGTCCTCCATCTGGCTGGGGCCCCGAGCCCGTGCTGGGAAGTGCCTCTGCTTGGGGCTGCAGCCTTGGGGACCCCCCACCTTCCCCGGACCCACCTCAGCCCAGAGGTCCTGAGACCCGAGAGCCACCTCCCTGAAGCCCCGAGTCTTTGCACAAGGAAGGGGGTTCCACTCCATCTTCCTGCCAACAGTCACTGCGACGTGCATCGTCGTTCAAATAGGAAAGAAGCCGTTTCTCATGGAGCCCTTTACACAGCCTGGAAGGAGCTGGAATTGCCTCTGGTTGGCAGACACCGAACACGCTCCGGCTGAGTGTGGAGCCCGTGCCCTTTGAGTTCGGTCAGCCTCGCAGTGGCCGCCGCCACAGCGTGCAGGACAGGGCTCAGCCTCTGACTTCTGTCAGCTGCCTCGTTGGATTTCTCACTGTGTGCAGGAAGCTGGTCTCTGTATTTAGCCAAAAAAAAAAAAAAACCAACCTCAGTGTCTTGTCAGGTGTCAGCGATGGGTCCCCATCCTTGGTGTCTCGGGGCAGGTGCTTGAGCTCCAGCTTCCGCAGGAAGTTGTCTTGCAGGTCGGGTCCTGGGAGGAGGCCGGGCCGCGCCCCTCCCTGCCCCAGGACCCAGGGCTGCTGCGGCTCCTGCTCCCGCCTCCCAGGCAGCTGTTAGCCTGGGGGTGCTGTGGGCATGGGGTGCAGCTTCCTTCCTACTCAACTCCCAAGTTCATTTCCCCCGGAACTCCCGTCCTGGGGCGAAGCACCGCCTTTAGGAATAGGCTGGTGTTGCCCCTTTGGCCCTGAAAAGACGCATCTTCGAAGCACCTGAAGTGACTTCGGGGCCCGAGGTTTCAGCCGTTGTGGCAGTGGCGATGTCACAGTGGCCTGGCCGTGGGCGTGCGAGCACAGCGGGTGGACGGCCTGCTCTGTGGGGAAGGGGTGGGAGGAGCTGTCCCGAATCCACGTGGGGACCCGCTGGCGCCGATGCGCCCCTCCAGAACTACAGGTCCAGTTCCACTGTCTGAGCCACCACAGCCTCCTGGGGCAGCTGGGACCAGGCGGGGCGGCCTCCACGGCTGCCCTTCAGGTGCCAACTCTGTGTTGCTGGGCTTTCTTTTTTATGGGTCAAACATCCGTGGATACCTTTGTATAGTTCACTACAGTTTATATTTTTATAGCCTATTTTTATCAAGGTTTCTCAAGTTCATATGCCTGTATTTTGTATAACAAGTTCTTCCGTGTGCGAGGCTCCCTCGTGTGTATTTATGTGACCCTGAACCTCCCAGGGGCTCTGCATGCTGGGCCCCCTCCTCACCCCAGGTCGCGACCTAGGGTCCTGCTGACGGCTGTCCCGCAGCAGCCAGGACCGCGGTCCCCAGGGAGACTGTGATCTCGACTACATTGTATGGACGTGGGAAGTGTCGCAGGCAAACAGCCGTTCAGGTTCTGCCTGACGCAGAGTCTGGGTCGCCCCTGACACCCTGCCCTCCTGTGCGGCGGCCGGGAGTCAGGATGCGGCTCTGCCTACTCACTCCTGATTTTCCATCACGGCAGCCTTCGTGCTTGCCTCCCTGTTCAGCCCTGGAACTGCCCTGTTAAAAGGTAAAATAAACTAATTTGTATGACAGTCTGACATGCACAGTTGCAGTCACTTGCAGGGTGGGGGTGGTGGCCAGGATGGGGGTGTCTGCAGGGGCCTGGGCCTCTGCCGGGAGCTGGAGCAGGGGCCCAGGGACAGGTGGCCCTCCCATTGCCTGTGACCTGCCCTGCCGGAGTCTCATGAAGAAAGACAGGGAAGTGACTCAAACCAAAGTTTTTTCCACGGTGTGGGGGCGGGGACTCCAGGGAGGATTTGCAGAGAGTCCAAGCCGGCGAGGACCAGGTGAGGCAGCAAGGCTGCTGGTCCCTGAGCTCCCCCGGCACCACGGCCGGGGCCGGGGCCAGGGCCAGGGCCAGGGCCAGGGCGAGGCTGGAGCTGACATCGCCGGCCTCTTTGTGGGCTTGCATGTCCATAGACATGAATAGCAAGAAAGCCAGGCCACGAGGTGTGGAGGATGGCAGAACACAGATATATTCTTGGTATTCTCAGATTAGAAGCAAGTGAATCTGTGTCACTCTCGGAATTTCAGAATCCACAGAAGAAATGGAGGTCAGTCTCCCCACAGCCAGCAGCATCGCCAGGTCCTTCAGAAAAAGAGCCATTCCACACTCGCTGTTCACAGGTGAGTGACAAAAATTCGGGGGGTAAACCAGCAAGTGCAAAGAGGCAGGGCTGTAGTAGATGGGGTCTTTTTCCAGAGACACCAACTCCATAAATTACTCACCAGAATCTGAGACTCCTGGGTATCCATTGAAGCCTTTAGCAAAATGGAAAAGGCATTTGTTCCCTTTCCAACTCACAATCTTTTCAAAAGCTGGTAAATAGTGCCACCTCGTGGGCAAATGTGGTATTGCCATTGGCACAACAGGGGCAAATGGGATGGCTGTCTTCAGGTGGAGGGCTAGGTGTGTCCTGCTTCCCTCTCAAACCTAACAGAACCTGCACGGGTAACTGAGCTCAGTCTTCCACCGGCCTGCTGCATTGCCAGGTCCTCCAGGAATGAGCCAGTCCAGAGATGCTTTAAGGAAACAGCCACATGAAGAGCATTAATGGGGAGGAAATGCTAAGTACAAAGGGCAGAGCAGATGCAGCTGGGCTCATTTTTAAAACCCTCTCGCCCATAAATTACCCACTACTTTCCTAGACTCCTGCAAAGTCATCAAGGCCCACAGCAAAGTCGACAACCATTTAGGTTATTTTTTTTTCCCACGGTCGCTATTTTTGAAAAGTGGGTAAATGGTGCCGCCTTGTGGACACCGTTGGTATTGCAGCAGGCAGGACCGTGACAAATGAGAGTTGTCTGGACAGTGAAACCTCGGTTCTCAACGTGAACAATTCGGTTCTCGAACCAAGTTGTTCACGGAAAAAAATATCTGTTCACGAACCAAACATCACTTCTCTACCCGACAACCTTCTCATGCTGATAGCTGGGGGATATGATTCGGTTTTGGAAGCTCTTCTCAAACAGCTGTGCAGGAGGAAATCAGTTCGAGACCCGAGGTTCCACTGCGCAGCGGCCCCGAGGAGGGCTAGGCCGGGGCCCTCAGGGACAAATAACAGGCTCAGGGACCGCCGCGGCAACGGAGTCTTCTGGCTCCACAGCTGGAGGAGGCGCCTCCAGAGCCCAGCAACTGTGCAGCGGCTGGGGCTGTGCCTGCTGCTCAGGCCGCCTCAGCTCTTCTTGGCTCTATACTTGAATATTTAGTGTAAGTCTTATTTATTTATTTGCTTGTTTATTTATTGGTTTGTTGTGGTGGTTTCTTGTTTTTGAGAAACAGAGAAAGGTCGATTTGTTGTCCCACTTATTTCAGCATTCATTAGTTGATTCTTGGATGAGCCCTGACTGGGGATCAAACCCTCATCCTTGACATATCCGCACCTCATTCCCACCAACGAAGACCCTAGGCCAGGGCTGTAAGTCTTTTAGTTTTAATGTGCAAATTGAGCCCTGGCTGCTGTAGCTCAGTGAATTGAGCGCTGGCCTGTGAACCAAAAGATCATGGGTTCAATTCCCAGTTCAGGCACATGCCTGGGTTGCGGGCCAGGTCCTCAATGGGAGCCACCTGAGAGGCAACACACATTGGTGTTTCTCTCTTTCCTTTCCCCTCTCCCTAAAAGTAAATAAATAAGATCTTTAAAAAATTAAAATAAATGAACTTAGTGGATGAGCTGTACCACTCCATGCGTATGACACGCCAGGGCACTACATGAGCCATAACGGGAATGTGCCTAGTAGTTTTAAATGTCTTAGGTTTTTTTTAAAAAATAGTCATAGTTGTTTAGGAGGCATTCTTTTCTTATTTAAACCGGCAGAAGTACCAAAATTTAGAGAAAGTGAATAGGAAAGATAGATAGTTTATGATCCTAAGAATCAAGCATCCTCTTTAAGATAAGCAGCGGATTCATTTGATCATTCAGTGATGTTTTACAAGAGAAAATACCTTTTCTAAGACCCTAAGTATGTGCAGGTCTTCAAATTATCTATGAATTTTCTCTTTTTTTAAAGATTTTATTTGTTCATATCTAGAAAGAGGTGAAGAGAAGGACAATAAGAGGGTGAGGATCATCAATGTGTGGCTGCCTCTTGTGCACCCTGTACCAGGGACCTGGTCTGCAACCCAGGCATGTGCCCTGACTGGGAATTGAACCGGCCACCCTTTGGTTCGCAGGACCGCACTCAATCCACTGAGCCACACCAGTTAAGGCACTATGGATTTTCTTAAAAGTTGTTTTTGAAATCAGTTTTTCCTCTTAGTTCTCAGTTCTCAGGAGTCATGGGGTAAAGGCATTTCTGGCTCTTGGCAGATAAGGTAGTGCTTGTTAAATATTTGTCAGCTGTCAGTAGTTAGAACCGAAATGTGTGCTTGGGCCTGGCTTCAGCTCCACCATCAATATGCCTCACACGCTGATGGAACACACTTCTTTGCAGTCAGAAGCTGAGCTGGAGAAGTTTCAGATTAAGGAGAAACAAATAAATAAATTTAAGTTCTTAATAATTACCTAGAACATCCAGGATTTATGAAAATAATTCTTCACACCTATTTTCTCCCTAGGATGGCATACATTATTAGCAGTACTTCTTAAAAAACATAGTGAATGAACAGAAAATAAGTGAGGGCTGACTTTTAAACTGAATGGAACGGGCTGCATAGACTAGTTTTGGATGTAAATATACCTAAGTGTTTTGGATGGTTCATAGGCTTTGCAATATGTTTTCTTACTGTCCTTTAAAGTAGCTGTAAAGTTTGTGCCATTTTCCAAGTCAAGTTCAGGCAGGGAATTAAAGCTTTTCATTACAAAATAACAACAACAGCAATAACAAAAATAACAACAACAGACTATTTTCTGAAGATTTCCGGAAACCAATCCGGATTCCTAGCAAAGTCGGCCAAGACTTTTTAAAAGGTAAATGCTGCCACCCTGTGGGAACACTTGGTATTGCAGGACGCGGAACAGGAAATGAATGGGACAGCTGTAGCTCAGATCAGGGGCTAGCGGTGTTCCGCTTCCCTCCCAGACTTAACAGAACCTGCACAGGTAACTGAGTTCAGTCTTCCCTGCGCCGGCTGCATCGCCTGGTCCTCTAGAAACGAGCCATTCCAGAGACAGCATTAAGGAAACAACCATATAAAGAGCATTAAGGGGGAGGCAGTACTAAATATTGGGTTGGCCAAATAGTCATTTGTTCTTTGCTGTGAAATGGCTCTAGTTGGGCTTACTTGTCTCCAACTTAATTTGAAACAATTTTTTAGATTGTAGTGTACAGCTGTCATAGCAGCATGCATTAAATAAACTTATCAAAATTGGTAAATTTTTGTGTAGCCATTTTAATATTGAAGGTGGAAGAAAATACGCCACATTTTCAGCATATTGTGCTGTATTATTCCAATAAAGGTAAAAATGCTACTGAAATGGAAAAAAATTGTGCAGTGCCCACAGGAGGTGCTGTGCGACTGATCAAACGTGGAAAAAGTTGTTTACATAGTTTTGTGCTAGAGATTTTTCATTGGATGATGCTCCATGATTGGATAGTCCAGTTGAAGTTGATGGCGATCAAAGCAAGATATTAATTGAGAACAGTCTATGTTATACCCTGCGGGAGATAGCTGACATTGTCAAAATACCCAAATCAATAAAGTTATGGGTGAAAATGAAAAATCTTTTATTTTACGAGAAAAAAAAAAAACATATGAGCTTTTTGGCCACACCAATATAAAGGGCCTGAGAAGATGTAGCTGGGCTGGTTTTCAAGACCCTCCCACCCATATATTACCCACTACTTTCCTAGACTCATGCGAACTTCCTTCAAGGCCCATAGCAAAATTTATAATCATATTGTCCTTTTCCCGTAGAGGGTTTTTGAAAAGTAGGTCAATGATGCCACCTCGTGGACATAGGGTGGTGTTGCAGCCAGCGCGACAGGGACAAGTTAAGACAGTTGAACATTTCGGTTTCAGACAAAGTTTTTCATGGGAAAAAAAATGTCTTGGGTGTGAAACAAACCTTTGGTTCTTGACCCAACAACCCTTTCATGCTGATACCTAGAGGGAAAATTATTTGGTTTTCGAACAAATCGGTTCTCGAAGAACTTTGTGGAATGAATTAAGTTCAAGAACCAAGGTTCCAGTCTATTCTCAGGTTAGCGGTTAGGTATGTCCTGCTTCCCTCGTAGGTGTACGAGAACCTACAGAACTAACCAAAGTCGGTCGTTCATGTGCCAATGGCATTACCAGGTCCTCCGACATCAAGCTCTTCCAGATCCAAGACTCAGGGAACAGTGATGGAAGAGGACTGAGGGTGAGGATACAGCAAGGACGAAGGCCGGGGGCAGGAGGCTGTTTTTGCAGAGCCACACTAAAAAATAACAGCTTTCGAAAGCCTCCTGGAAACCAATTAGGATTCTTAACAAAGTCGACCGCTCCTTCCCCATTGCCCTGCCCGCTCCCGCTTGGGTGTATTTTTTAGAAAAACAAGTAAATGCTGCCGCCTTGTGGACGCTAGTGGTATTGCAGACTGCAGAACAGAAACAAAAGGGACAGTGGTCTGGAGCTCAGATGAGAAAGTAGTTTGTGTCGAGTTTTCTCCCCGACTTAAGAGAACCCACAGAATTAACTGAAGTCGGTCTTCCCTGAGCTAAATGGATTGCCAGGTCCTCAGGCAATAAGCAAGTTCAGAGGGGCTCAGGGTCAGCGTCCCCAGCCACTGCCTTCAGGAACTCCAGGTCACTCCATCAGGAGTTCCCAGGGGCACCCACGCACCCGGTCGGCTGCAGAGGGTCTCCCGGGCCGTTAGGACTGTGGGTGCCCCCCTCCCCCTCTTCCCCTCCACTTGGACCCCATGTGTTCAGCTCCAAGCGTACAGATTCTGCAGCTGAGGGTTCAGTGCCACAAATAGGCAGGTAGGAATTCTGAGTCGGGTGTGTCCAGGGGACATCGGGTTGGACAGGACCCACCCGTGTCTGCCTGGGGAACGCTGGGGCCTTCTCTCAGAGCAGACACAGGGTGCTCACTCTGCTCTGGGCCTATGTCCAGGCTGTGCAGGGGCTGTGGTCCCTGCTCCGCCTCAGGCAGCAGCCCCCGACTGAAGGAGTCAGTGAGAAATGTGAATATCATGTAGTGCTTTTCTGTAGCCATGATGGGGCTGCACCCCATTCCTTCAAGTATGGGGGTGGGGCAGGTGGACACGGGCTGGTCAGGTTGCCCTGGTCCCGGTTCCCAGCCCATCGGCTGAGCGGAGCTGCAGGCAGGACCTAGTCAGCCCACACCGAGGGCTGTGTCCGGGCCTCTCCTCCTTCCTCACGTGTTCTAGAAGGTTTTCTGGGAACTCGGCACTTAAGTGCCTTTTTGACCTTTTACCTTCCTGCAGGAGGACCCTGTGGGTGGGAGTTAGGCCTCCCGCAGGACAGGGGGTTTAAGGAGTAGGCGTGTGTGTTCTGATTTATGCGCCCCTCTTGTGCCCACAGCCTGAGTGCACAACAGAACCAGGCTGTTCCCTGACAGAGACGAGGAGTCGTGGGGACGCGTCTACTGGGGCTTCTGTGGGTATTGACGCCTTGATCCCTGCAGAATGCTGGGGGGGAGGGCGGAGCAAGAGACAGCCCCCTTTACTGTGGGAGGAGTCAGCTCCTGTTGTGACCCCCAGAGACCGCGGTGTGGGATCAGGGCAGGAAACCCAGCGGGGCCTGGGGTCGGGTTCACCTAGGTTCTCATTAAAATGCCGGCCAGCAGGGGGTGGGGGGTGTGCCGTGATTGGACAGTAACACGTGCACTGTACACGCTGCCCTGGCCCGCGGGTGCTGTGACAGGGACAAAGGGCACGTGCTCCCGAGAGGCCTCGATGCTCCCGCTGGAGGTGGGTCTCTGACCAGGTGGGCTCAGGAGGCCCCTCCAGCCCTCCAGGCAGCTCAGAGCCGGCCCGGCTGCGGCAGGCGGCAGAAGATTGAGGCCTGATCGCAGAGACCGTGCCGGATGCCGACCAGCCCTCCCCCCCACCACAGCGAGCTCGAGGACAGGCGCCCTCCTCCCACCGTCTGCGACCTGCCCTGCCTGAGTCACGAGTTGTTTGCTTCTTGCTGGGAGGACAGCTCAGGCCCAGCTTCCCCTGGGGACACCACCCCCACCCCCCGTCGTGAAAAACACGGGAGAGTGATTAAGAGCAAAGTTGTTTGCACGGTGTGGGGGAGGGGGCTCCAGGGAGGGTTTGCAGACAGCCGGAGCCTTGAGGACCTGGCGAGGCAGCGAGGCTGTAGGTCCCTGAGCTCCCCCTGCACCCCGGCTCTTCTTAGACCCCCAGGTAGAAAAACCCTGTTGCCAGCCTCTCCTGAAGGCCCCAGGAAGCCATTGCTCAGAGCAGGTCCCCAGGGCCTTGGTGGGCCAGCAGGGCGTCCGCACACAGGCAGGGAGCAAGCCTGCCACCCCTCCACCCTCACCGAGGCAGTGATGCTTGGACTCCCTTGGCCCCGGAGACTTGCTTCCCTGAGTGACCTGGGACAGGCTGCCCGCTGTTGGAGCCGCCCCAGGGCCTGCTCAGGGTCATCTCCCTGCCTGGCCTGGGCACCCAGACCTCAGCAGTGGATGGGGCTCCAGGCCCCAGTGGCCTGGCCGGGTGTGTGCCCTGGGCCTGTCCCCTCCCTCAGAGCCTTAGGCTTCTGGTCTGAACTGGGGTGATGGGCGCTCAGAGAGCACCAGGGCCCCGCTGCACCCGGGGTTATGCTGGGGTCAGCCAGGCTCCCTGCCCTTCTACCGAAGAGCCGGTTCTGACGCTTCAGCCTCTGGTCTTGATCCTCAAGGAGTGGTTTTCAATGTTCCCTCTGTCCCCAACTCACACGGGCCAGGACATCTCGAAGCATGCAGGCCCACGGGGTCCTGCTCTATGCACCAGGTGGGCTTTGGAAGCGGGATGGCAGGAAGGGGCTGTGGGGGGCGGGGCAGGTGCCAGGTGGTGGGACCCCAGGCCAGCCCTACACTTCCAGCCTGGGCCCGGAGCTCAGAGATGCAGGAGGTGGACCGGCGGGGGGGGGGGGGGGGGGGGGGTGGCCTGCCCCTCCCTCCAACCCGCAGCTGACAAAACCCAGCTCGGCCACCCTGGGCCCCAGTGCAGGTGGGCAGAGTGCACAGGGCCACCGTCACCTCGGGGTCAGTCCCTGTGAAAATGGGCCTGCGGACCTTGCAGGGAGCATGGTGGGGGGGGGGGCTGGACGCCTGAGCAGGGGGCCTAGAGACACCTCCCCCGGACGCAGCCTCCTTTCCAGCCTCCAGCCCACCTGGGCCTGGTCTCTGCCTTGTGGTCCACCCGTGTCCCCTGCTGGTCCCCTCTCTGGTGGGAAGAGGGGGGCAGTTTCACATCTGAAATCCCCACCACCCAAGAGGAAGCCAGGCTGCACTGACTCGGTAGATGCTTGTTTATATAATAATTAATAATAATAATAATAATAATAATAGTGCGTTATACAAACTGTTAGAATAAAAAAATACCTTTTCTGAGTGGGGTCCCCAGCCTGCCACTGGCAGGGGCTGGGATAGCACCATGAGGGCGCAGACAGGGGGTGGGGTGGGCACTGAGGTCTGTGCGGCTGTCAGTGGTCCGTCTGTCTGTCAGTTTGCCCGGCCGGGGTGGCGGTCAGCTGCCGGCGGCCCGCCGGTGGCGGCTGCGCCCGGGCGCAGGGCAGGAGAGACAGCACTGGGTGCGGATGGAGGGCAGCTGGCAGCGGCCCAGGAGGCGCAGGGTCTCGCAGAAGGCGAAGGACAGGCGGTCCCGCTCGCAGCCTGGGGGGCGGGAGGGGCCGTGGTGGGCTCGGCCTGTGCTCACGGCTATTCTGGGAAGTGGCTGGCTTCCAAGGCCCCGTGGTGGCTGAGTGTGCTCAGCTGCCGCCAGGCCCTGCCTGGCCAGCGGACATCCCACGGGCCTGGACATCCCCGGGCGGCAGGCACCCCAGCTTCCGAGGGCAGCTCCCAGCCACACGTCTGCCCTGTTCCTGTTTTGACCCCTGGGGGGCGCTTCCCTCCTTGGTCCCTGCCTCTCCCCAGGCTGTCGGCTGCCTCGCCCTGTGACCTCACATCCTAGAGTTTCCAGGATGCCCACAGGTCCCCCCCACGAACCATCACAATATCCTGGGGACTCTGGGGTCTTAGCATCCAAGTCACTTCCCAGCTGGCTCCAGCACTGACCTCCTCTGTTGGGACAGCCCAGGGCTCAGCCACCTCCAAAGCCACCCAGCCCTCCAGGCCAGGCCTGTCCTTGGTCTCAGCCCCCGGAGACCCGGGTTCCCACCCTGCCCCCAGCTGCCTGACCTCAGCCCAAGGGGCCCAGAGCAGCAGTGACCCAACTGTTCACCCAAGTCAAGTGCTGCCACCAGCAGCCACCCCGGGGCTGAGGTTGTGAATGCAGAAGGCAGGGTCCGGCGGGGGGGGCTTTCTTCAGGGATTCCGGGCAGACTGCGGCCAATCCCAAAGTCCTGAGCCCCCCCCCAATGTCCCTGGGGCCTGGGCAAACAGCTGACTCCCTCAAGTCACAGGCCGCCCTGCACCCGCTTCCTGGCATCACAACATGGTGACAGTGCCTATTCGGGGACACACCCGCACTCCCTGAGCACCCCCGGCCCTCTGCTCACCCCCGAGTCCTCATGGGTGCTCCTCCCCCCCCCCCCCCCCACGGAGGGGAGCTGTTGGCCTTCAGGGACGAGGAAGTGCATCCCAAGCCCACACAGCTGTGGGGGAGCCCAGGTGGCCTCCGGGCCAGTTTCCTGTGTGGGCAGTGCTGGGGTCCCGGCTGCAGGAAGCGTGTGGTGTGTGCGTGTGTCCACAAGCGCTCCTGCCCCAGGCCCTTCCTCCAGGACCCTGGGAGGGAAGCACTGCTCCCTCGGGCCAGCTGGTCTCTGGCGGGTGGCTCTCAGGGACGAGGGTGGCTCTCAGGGACGAGCGGACCTACCTCGGAGACCCACAGGGAGGCGGCTGGCCCAACCTCACTCACACAGCCACGTGGGGACCCAGGCTGCTGTCCCGATCCCTCCTGAGCCAGAGGAAGCTGGGCCCCCACCCTGCGCCCCTGTCCAGTCCTGGCACAGTCCCCTGCTGTAGGGGCGGCAGCCGGCTGACCCCCCATCCCCCCACTCCCCGCTCCCCTACGGTGGGGGGTGGGCAGACTCACGCTGTGGCGGCTCGGCCAACACGCAGTCCTCGGTGCCGCAGGGCTGGGAGCCCTCGGGCCAGGGCTCGTGGGCACACTGGTCGCTGTCTTCCTCCGGCAGGCCGGTCTGGGTGTTGACGCACTTGACCAGGCGCCTCCGGACGCCGCCCCCGCAGGGCAGTGAGCACTGGGCGGGGGTGTGAGGGGCAGGGACGTGAGCTCCCCCCGGACTGGCTGCACCCCACTTGGGAGGGACTGGCCCACCAGGCTGTTGTTCTTCCCAGCTGGGGTCTGATGTCTTTAAAATGCCCTAAAGCGCGTTTCCTCGGGGCCGACCAGTGCCCGGCCCTGTGCTAAGGGCCTCGCTGTTCCCTCGGAAAACCCTCACGACCCCCTTTTCACCACCGGATACACGCAGCCCAGCGCCACTCAGCAGCCAGGGGGACGAGGAACAGAGTCCCAGGGGCCCCGAGCAGCAGTGACCCAACTGTTCCGAGCGCGGGAGGCACTGGGCCCACCCGAGGCCAGGGATGCCCTCACCTGGCTCCAGGGCCCCACCACCCACTGCGTGCAGGGGTGCGTGTTGCAGGGCTGCGTGCTGTTGGGTCTCAGCGCCTCCTCGCACAGCCCTGGCTCCGGGCAGGTCACCAGGCGCTGCTGCTCTCCGCCGCCGCAGGCCTCGGAGCACTGGGGGCAGGACGTGCGGGGCCGGGCATCAGGGCAGGGCTGGGTCCCGCGGGCCCCCCTCCACCCGCTCCCCACCTGTCCCCCAAGCCTCACTTCTCTCCAGGAAGAGGTGTACCAGGTGAGGCAGGGCTGCACCCCGCAGGGCTGGCGGGCGGGCGGCTGCGCAGGCCCAGCCTGGCAGTGGAACGGGCGGAGCGGCCGGAGGTCCTGCGCGTCCACACACTGCACCTCCCGCACAGAGAAGCCTCCGCCGCAGCTGCGGGAGCACTGGGGGCCGGAGGACAGGTGTGTGGGCATCGGGCCACCCCCCACCAGGGGCCTCGCTCTCCAAGTTCCAGGGAAAGGCCGGGGCTGCCCACCCACGATGGACTGGAGGGAAAAATCAGTGACCCTCAGGTCCCAAGGGGTGGGAGGTACAAGGAAAAAGGACGAGACCAGCAAGGGACGGGTCTGGTGAGGGTGGCACCAGCAAAAATGCGAACACAGGACAGGCCAGGAGCTTGCAGGGAGGTGCAGGCCCACGGCTCTGGCACCCACACACCTTACTCCAGGTGCCCACGTGCCAGGTGGCACAGGGCCGCAGGTGACAGCGGCGGGCGGGCTGGGGCCGGCCAGCAGGGGCGCAGTCGTCCTCCCGGCCGGAGCTGCAGCGCACGGACCTCCACTCAGCGCCCAGGCCACAGGTGGTGGAGCACTGGGGGCGGGGCCAGAGGCCGTAAGGGCGGGGCAGCCCCCTTCGCCCCACCCCGCGGCTTGCACCACCCATCCAGGCGTCTGCGCGGGCGTCTGCGCAGCCGAGGCCTCAGTTTCCTCATCTGCAAAACGGGCTCCTCCACCCACCTCCCGAGGAGACGGTGAGTCCCCTGGGTGCCACGGTCCTGGCCCACGGGAAACACAGCTGAGAAGCCCAGCCGTCGCGACAGAACCGCCTGGGAAGGGAGTCTCTCCCTCCTGCCCCCACGCTGGGGACCTGAACAGAGCTCACTTCTGCTGCAGGGACAATTGGGGACCCTGTGTATGTTCGTGGGGGACAGCTTAGTTCCTTGCCACTCAGCCCCCTGCAAGCCCAGAGAGCTGGGTGCAGCCGGGTGGGGAGAGCCAGGCGGAAGGGCCACAGCGGCACACGGAGGAGCCAGGTGAGCCTCGGAGCCCTGCTGGGCCCTGCTATGAGCTCGGGAGGGGCCTGGGCGGGGGAGGGGCTGCCCCGGAACCCCAGCAGTCTGGGGTGAGCACCCTGTCCTTGGGGCATTTGGGCCGAGGTGGGGAGAGGAAGGCTCCTTTCTGCTCCTCATGGCTGCTGCCCTGCCTCCCCGGGGGGCCCAAGCTGGCCAGGGAAGGGCCTCGGGGACTCCAGGGACACAGTGAGATGGGCCCCCCCTGCCCACCCCCAGTGTTCAGAAGAGAAACTGAGGCAGCAAGGCCCCGGACAGCTCTGATACTTGCCTCACTCCACTTCCCCACTTCCCAGCTGGCGTTCCTGGTCAGGGGCAGGTCCAGAGGGGGCCCCCCCTCAGCCAGGCTGGGGTCCAGGGTCTGGGCCTCGGGTGCTCTGCTGCTGTTGGTGGGACTGTCCGAGGCTGGTGTGGACGCCTCAGGGCTGGGGGGCTCAGGCTGGCCCGAGGGCCCTGGACTCGGGGTGGCCCCCCAAAGCCTGTGCCCTGGGCCTGTGGGGGCGGTCCCAAGGAAGGTCTCTGGCGGCGCTGGGCTGTGCAGGCCTGGTAGAGCCAGCCCTGGGGCTGGGGACGTGGGCGTCCTGGGCCCCAGGGAGCCGTCCCAGCCCGGGGCCTCTGGCTGAGCGGCGGTGGGAGTCTGGGGCAGGGGCGGCGCTGGGTGGCCCTCGGGGTTCTCCTCCTCATCCTCAGAAACCTCGTTGGTCACCTCCCACCGTGGAGGCGGCAGCTGGCTCGGGCCCTGCTCCCCGACCGGGAACTCATTGCGGCTCCCAGGGGCAGCAGGCGTCTCACTGACCAAAGTGGGGGGCCCGGGTAAGCTGGGGGGCTCCGTGTCAGGGGCCAGCATACGGGTGTCTTCCTCAGGCAGCAAGTTGCCCAGGGGGCTGCAGGGCATCTGCTCCAAAGGTGGCGGTGTGGAGTGACCGGCCTGGCCGGGCCCAGGGGACGGGCCTCCAGTTGCCTGCTGGTCCTCCTCCGTAGGAAGTTCGGTGGCTGGCTCAGGGGCCTGGGCGGGGGGCTCGGCGGGGCTGCTCAGGGGTGGGGGCGTCCAGTCCCCTGTGCCCGCTGGGCCTGGGCCGGGCTCTTCGAAGTGCTCATAGGACAGGTCCTCATGAAACCTGATGAAGTTGTAGTCGTAGTAGAAGTCGTCCACGAAGACGGGCCCCGGCGGGCCCAGCTGGGCGGCGTCCTCCTCCTCCTCTTCCTCCTCTTCCTTGATGATATTGCTGAGTGGGGAGGGGGATGGAGTGTGGGGGGCCAGGTGGTGGTGGGGGAAGCTGACCTCGGTGTACAGTGTCCCGCTAAAGGAGCCGCTGCCAGAGCCTTCGGGGTCCAGGGCCCGTGGGCAGGGCGGCAGGGAGCAGGCGGCCTCGCTGGCCGGCCGCTGGGCCTCGTCGCAGGGGACGCTGGTGTCGTGGGTGCAGACGACTGTTCGGTGCTGAGTGCCTTGCCCGCAGGTGGCTGAACACTGCAGGGGAGGCCGGGGCAGGGTCAGGCCACAGGGGGACTGGACCCAGAGGACCCCAGCTTCCCTCCTGCCCCCCAAGACTACAGCGGTGCTGGGGGCAGACCCCTCCCGTCCCCAAGCTGACCTGAGACCAGTTCCCCACGGCCCAGGAAGCTGGACAGGGCACGTGGAAGTTGCAGGGGCTTTCGGCGGGGGGCCGGGGCAGGTGCTTGCAGTCGGGGGGCTCCAGGGCTCTCTGGTCCTCCGGCCCCACGCTCTGGATGCAGAGCACGGCCCGGCGGGAGAGGCCCCCAGGCCCACAGGAGCGGGAACACGGCTGCCACTCGCCGGCCCACCAGCTGCAGAGGGCAGGGGGCACTCGCGTGTGGCTGGCTGGACCCCGAGGGTGCCCGGTCTGGGCTGGCCCCCCACAGCCTAGTGCCCCTTCGCTCCCACCACCCTTAGCCCAGGGGACCTGCGCCCCCACAGGTCCCCAAACACAAGTGACCAGGGACATGCAGGCCAGGTGGGGGCAGCCCTGGGAAGAGAGCCCAAGAACCCTTCCCCCTGCGCCCCGACGTCGGGCCTGGCCCTGGGGGTCGGGAGCCCGGGGGACCGTGGTCAGGGGGCTCACCGGGCGGGGCAGGGCTCCTCGCTGCACTTCCTCTGGCGGTCATCCGGCCGGCCCACGGGGTCACAGTATCTGTCGTCCACGGGCCCCGCCTGCCGCTTGGTGCAGTACACACTCTGCCTCTGTATGCCTGGGGGACCGCGGTACTCGGTGGCACCCAGAGGCAGGGCCACAGCCTCTCTGCCCAGAGCCCTCCCAGAACAGGACCCCCCCAACCCCAGGCACCACCCTGGGAGGGGCAGAGTGCGGGGTTCGGTGAGCTGGGGCTTCCTAGCTGGGAGACCTTGACGGTGGCCTTTCTGACCCTCAGAGTCTCCGTCTGTAAATGGGAGTGACGGTTACCCCCGCCTGGAAGCCCAGTGTGAGGGGGACAGGCAGTCACACGTGTGCCTGGCACCTGGCCAGAGCTCCACAGGTGGCGGCTGCCGCTGCTAACCTGCAAGTCCAAGGGACTCAGGAGACGGGCTGTTGGTGGCCCCGTTTTACAGATGGGGAGACCGAGGCTCGGAGCAGCAAAACTCCAGGCTGACGGTGGCCCCACCGATAAGGAGGGAGCTGGAGGCTGAAGCCGGGGTCCCTGCCCCAGAGGCGAGGACCACCTCCTCACCTGTGCCGCAGGTGACCGTGCACTTGGTCCAGGGCCCGTGGGTCCAAGAGAACTCGGGCAGCAGGCCCAGCCCGTGGGGATCGGCCGCGCGGTGGATGGTGTACTCGTAGCTCACGCCAGGGTTGCTCTCCTGGATCAGCAGCTGGGAGGCGAGGCCGAGGGGGCCCATGAGCACGAGACAACCATCCTAAGGAAGCCCACCCAGCCACCCCTAGGACCCAGGGCCGTGGTAGAAGTAGGGAAACCGAGGCAGAGGCTCCGTGAGTGCCCCAGACCTCCTCTTGCCCCGGGGTCCCTGGGACCCCACCTCCACTCCCTGACCCCGGCCTCGGGACACAGGCACCTGGATCCAGACGGGCTCCTCCGTGGGCCCGGGGGAGGTGAGTTTCTCCAGCTCCCCCGTGCGTGTGTAGGTGAAGGTGGTGCCCGCCACGTCATAGTCCCCGTTCCACTGGATGGTCCAGTGACCGTTGAGGAAGTACTTCTCCGGGTCCTCGCTCCGCAAGGCCAGGAAGCTGGTGCTCTCGGCCAGCTCCTCAATGCGGATGTCCCGGGCACCAGCCGGGATCAGGGCCACTTCCACGTAGCCTGGTGGCCAGGGTGGTGAGGACGGATGTAAGCCGGCTGCCGTCCTCACCTCCGGCTTCCCCCCTCTTCCTGCCGGCCCTGCTGGCTGACGCCAGCATCCCACCGCGAGCTGAAGGCTCTGAGCTTCCCCAGAAGCAGGTGGTTCCATGTGCCCCAGGTTGCCAACACCTCCCAAGGGGTTTTCAGGTGCTGCCCCCAAGACCCAGGCCCCATTGCCCTGTCCCAGAGACCGCGGTTGGTCTTCGCCACACAGCTGACCCACACCCTGCTCTCAGGGCTGGCGTGACCATTCTAAACAACAGTGTCGCCCTGGCTGGTGTGGCTCAGTGGAATGAGTGCCAGCCTGTGAAGCAAAGGGTCTCAGGTTCCATTCCCAGCCAGGGCACCTGCCTGGATTGTGGGCCAGGTCCCCAGTAGGGGGCGCATGAGAGGCAACCACACATTGATGTTTCTCTCCCTCTCTTTCTCCCTCCCTTCCCCTCTCTCTAAAAATATATAAAAATCTTTAAAAACAACAACAAACGGATGGGGCCTCTCCCTGCGACACCCTCCTCGCTCCGTGAAGGCCATTTGTCCTCTCACTTCACAGTGTCCACCCCTCGCCTTGGACGGTGCCTCTTAGCACTTCATGCATGAAACTGCCCTGTGAGGTAAGTGCCACCGCCACATCCCCATGGCACAGGTGGGGAGGCTGCGGCACAGCACGGTGAAGCGTCTGCTGAGCTGTGCATTGGGCTGCGGGGCCTGAGCTCTGACTGCCGTCTCGGGCGGCGCCTCTGGAACGAGGCCTCAGCGGCCTGGCCCAGCGTGGACGGCCCCAGGGCAGGCCCGTCTTCCTCACACACCCCAGAGGGAGCCAGCGCCTTCCTGCCTCTGGGCTTGTGTGGTGCAAGCTCTTCCCACTGCCAAGCCCCAGGTCCTGTCTCTGCCTTCTGAGTCTTTTATGACTCAGCTCAGCTGCCACCTCCTACAGGAAGTCTTCCCTGATCTCTCCAGGTCAAAGACTTCTTCCCTGGGGCTCTCACAGACCTCTGGGCCTCCCTCCATGGCATCTGTGAGGCTAAAAGATTCTGTCCCTGTGTCTGACTGAACACATCACCTCCTATCCCTCCTTCTGATATATCATTGGCACTTAAATAATGTATGCAAAACACCCTGAGGTAAGGGGGTGAAGCTGAGGGTCTTCTGAACCTGATGGGCCCGGCCTGGGCTCCCTGGGGCAGGAAGACACCCTGTGAAGACAGGTCACTCCCCAGGGCCAAGTGTCCCGACTCCTGCTTGGATCCTGGACCAAGCACAGTGGCTTCCCTGCTCCTGTCTCCAGCCTGGGTGGGGACAGGAGGAAGGGCCAGTGGTCCCCCACCAGGGGTCGCGCCCCGTACCCTTTTTGTCATCAGCCTCCTGGAAGGTCTCTCTCACGGTGTGACAGGTGGAGCCGTCACCATGACACACACCGCAGCGGTCCTCCAGGGCGCCCGAGTCGATCTCGAAGTCGCAGCCCACATTCTGTAACACGCAGAGGAGAGGCCCTGGTGTTGGGGTGCAGAGCTCCCGAGGGCACCCGGGTCCACCCCGCCGCCTCTCCCAGCCCCGGTTTCCTGGGCTGTGAAGCGGGAGGCGGACCCCAGCGGCACAGGCGCATCCTGAGATTGCAGGAGACAGAGAGGGGACAGGCGCCACGGAAGGGGCAGCAGGCAGGGGAGCTGGCACTCCGTGGGTGACCGGTGTGGACAGGAATCAGCGTCCCAGGCCCTCCTGCTCGCCCGTCTCGGAACCCAGGCCTCAAGGCCTCCGTGGCTTCCCCTTCCAGAAGCAGCTGGAACATGTCACAGAGGTGAGGCCGTAGCTCTTGCTGGAAGTGACTAAGAACCGCCAGCAAATGCTGGTGCCCAGTGCCAGGCACCGAGCCCTGACTGTCCCGGATGGTAACCACCTGTGAGTGACCTCATGTGACCTGATGTTGTGGATACTGCCCCCTTTCTGCTTTCACAGGAAACCTTGCCTGGGGGGGTCATCCAGCCCGGAGGAGGTCCAGCCCCCGCCTGGGCTCTCACGTCCTGGTGGGGGTGTGCCACAGTGAGGGGAGGTGCCTTCGGCAGAACCCAGGGCAGCCAATGGGGAGGTGGAGAGACAAACCGCAGAAGTGGGGGGTGTGGTCTGACCTAGAGGGTGCCAGGAGTAAGGGGCTTTTCTGAAAAGTGCTGGGGGACCAGCAGAGGTGTCGCTGGCACAACTGGAAAACCCAATGGTGCGGCCTGGGAAGGATGCCCAGGGGACCAGGAGAGAGGTGTGAGGCTGCTGTGGGCGGGGCCGAATGTGGCCCGGGGGCGTGGCTTGTGGAGGAGCCCCTCCCATGGGGCGGGGCGGGCGGAGAAGCCTCCTTGCGGCTCACCTTGCAGATGCCATTGATGCACAGGTCTCGGCTGGCCCTGGCCCGGCCCTGGTAGCAGGGTGTGCCGTCCACCACAGCATCCCGTAGCTTCTCAGCAAAGGACTCGTTCGCGGGCCGGCAGTGCAGCTCGCAGGGGTTGTCTGGGGGCCCAAGTGCGGGAGCCATGAAGGACACGGGGGAGGAGTCACGGGCTGCCAGGAAGCCCACCTCCAGGACGGGCATGGAGGGCCACCTGGGGCGAGCAGCACAGAAATGCTGCAGGCGCAGCAAGGGGGGCCCCCTAGTGGCCAGCCCGGGTCTGAGTCCCGGGGAGCCTGCAGGACTCACCGTCGTTGACCACGGGCACCCAGGTATGCAGCTGGCCCTTGTAGAACGTGGTGTCGAAGTGGCTGCACTGGATGTGGCGGAAGGAGGGCTGGCCGGCCGGGCATTTCTTCAGGTTGCAGAGACGCAAACGCTTCCGTTCGCCCACACAGTATTTGCCCTTGTACTTGGGCCTGTGGGCAGAGCCGGGTGGGGCTGAGTGCAGGCACAGACACCTGCCCCTACCTCTGTGGACGCTGCCCCCTGCTGGCCATCCATCCCTCTGGCTGTTTAAGCGGCTGTGGCAGCAGGGACTCTGGCCTTGCCCCCAACCTGCTGGGCAAGCTGCTGACCTCTCTGGACTGGCTTCTTCACCTACAACCTACAACACGGGTCTGGGGCTGTCTCTGCAGAGGGCTATTGAGACGCTGCAGCCGTAACCAGCACTGGCTGCTGGAGTCTCCCGCTGATGGGACCCGGGGTCCTGAGTGGCCCCTGTGCTGGTGAGCACACCCACCCAGCTCAGGCTGGGAGCCAGGGTGAGGCAGGGGTTCCAGCCAGGCCACAGTCTGTGACACACACAGGGTCCTGGATGGGGCCGGCTCTGAACCGTACGCCTGGGGGCAGCCCCATGAGGAGGCTGCAGAATCTTCACACCACTCTCTTAGATGGGGAGCCTGAGGTCCAGGTCACCCTGTTGTGCAGCTTCCCCCAACATGGAGCCCCGAGAAGGAGCGAGCCGTGGAGGGGAGGCTGGAACCCTGCTCCATTGAAGGCCAAGGTCTAAGCTCGTGGCCCCTGTCCCCTCCTGCCTCCCTCCAGCCAGCTGTTGCTTTGTCCTGGGTGCTCTGCCGAGTCCCTCCAGTCTCTGGGCTTGGCCTCTGTGGGGACACTTCTGACAGCTGAAGACAGGGTCAGAGCCAGGCTCCCTCAGTCAACTGCCTCTGCTCAGCGCCCTCAACCCCCCGACCCCCGTGCGGGGCTGCACACTCACAAGGGCTGGGTGCACTGCCGCTCCATGCTTTGCACACCCGCACCGCAGCTGCGCGAGCAGGTGGACCAGGCGCTCCAGCCGGACCAGCCGCCGTCCACTGCCTTGGGCTGGAAGCTCATGGGAACGCACTCCCCATTCAGACACCACTGCCAAGATAGATGGAGGTAGGGCGACCACCCCAGACCTATCAGTCATGCTCACCCTAGTTAGAAACAGGCATGGGTGGGAGGCCTGGAAAGGCAGAGAGGAGAAGGGCGGAAGGGGGAGGGGAGGTCCCCTTCCAGGAACACAGGACCCAGGGGCTAACTCTGAGCTGAACACACTGGGGAGAGTCATGGGATGAAGGCCCTATGCCCCCATTCTGCAGATGGGCACAGGGGCTGGAGAGGGCCAGGGGTCGGCTACAGGCCAACCCCCAGCCCAGACACCGTGAGAAGTCAGCTCTCCCACCGGCACAGCCAGCCCAGGCCCCTGTACCTTGCTCTCTCCACAGGTGGTGCCGTCCACAGCTGCGTCCAGCTTGGAGTGACAGGTGAGCCCCACAGAGCACCACAGTGTGTGACAGACATTCTGTGGGAATGTGGGAGAAGGACGCAGGCCACACTGTCCCCCCTGGCCAGTGCCTGCTCACCACCCCACGAGTCCCCGGGGCCCCATTTGCCTTCTCTGCACCCTCTGCACCGTGCGGTGCTGCAGGCACCCTGAGGCTCGGCTCTGCCGGCAGGAACGGCCTCCAGCCGCTGTCGGAAGCCACGAGGTCTGGGAGACAAGCCCAGGGCCATCATCGCTTCAAACAACCTTCCCCCGGACCCAGAAGCGTGCCTTCTGTCTGATCTCTTCGAATCAGCTCTGGGAGCGGGGCCTGCCCACAGTCCCCCGGTGGCTGACAGTCCCCCCAGAATTCATCCTGGGGCCCATGGCCGCCCAACCCGAGGCCTCTCCCAGGGGGTCTGCAGGCTGGCGCGCCCACACTCACGTCCATGTCCTTGCAGAACACGGAGGCGGACCCGTACTGGAGGCGGCACTGGTGGTCCATGTCGTAGAGGACGCCAGGCAGCACCGAGGGGAGCTCGATGACATCCTTGGGGGGCGGGTCGTCCAGGCAGTGGCCCCACCCCCGGCTGCAGAGATGGGGCAGAAGGATGGGGTAAGGGGAACAGCCCGAGAGACCAACCTGGGAGGCCCTGGTGGGCAGGGGGGGCAGGAAGGGCAAGTAGCCTATGCTTTTGCAGGAACACTCAGCTCCCTCACCGCCCCCAGCCTGTCCTGCGGCGACCCCAGCACAGGCAGCCCACGGGCCCCTGGCCACACAACCGGGCCTCTGCACTGCGGCTCTGTCCCCTGCGGCACTCCTCTCTCTTCTCCACGGGAAGCTTCTCTCCTCCAGATCCGGCCCAAAGGCTCCTGCCCAGAAACCTGTGCCCGCTGAGCCCTGCTTGAGCCCTCCCGCGGCCCCCACCCCTTCACCGAACCTGCAGGTCCCACAGGGATCGGGGCAGCATCACAGCGCAGCCGATGCCCGAGGAGGGTTGTCCTGGGAGAGGGCCCAGGACATGCAGAGCTGGCGACAGCCCTGCTCCTCCTGCAATGAGGCCTGGAGCCTCGGGGGGCCGCAGGGAGCGCTGATGGGCAGGGTCAAAGGCCAAGCCCTGGCTGCTGGTGCCCCTGCACATCCACTCACTGGGCTGTCCCCAGTGCCACCACCCCCCCTACTGGGAGCCCAGCCTCAAATGCTTCACCCCAAATGTAAGTTCAGGGCCATGGCACTGAAGCCTGGCAGAAAGCAATAAGGGTTCTGGGGGTTCCCTGGCCTGCATGCTGGGACAGAGTGGCAGCCGGGGGGTGGGTGGGTCAGCCTAGCCTGGGGCTCCTTCTTCAAGAAGGGGGCTGGCGGGTGCCCCCACCCCTGACTGAGACCCAGCCTGGGGGCTCCCAGGCCACAGGCAGCCCCTTTCCTGGCTGGGACCCAGAGCTGGCCGGGGGTCAGAAAGCTGATCCCCACTCTCTACCTGACTGTGGATGCTGTGTGGCATTGGGCCATCCCTCACCCTCTCTGGGCCTTTGTGCCCTCGCCCACACGAGGCTGACGCTGCCTGCAGGACCTCAACAGCAGCATCTACTGGGGACAGTCCCACAGGCGGCCGGCGGCCCGCACTTCCTTCCTCTAGTCGTCGGCTCACCGCCAGCCAGGCGGGCTCCTCGCGGGGGGCCGGCACACCCGGAACCCCAGGCCTGTCGGCCCTTCCCCTGAGGCCTCTTCTTGCTCTAATTATAGCAGGCTGGTGGTCCCCTAAGGGGACAGAGCAGGCAGGGCTTGGCTCTGGCCTTGAGGACTCGGCGGAGCTGCCCATCACCTGAGGAGGGGCCTCCCCCCGCCACTCCTAGTCCTGGTCAGCGAGCCAGTGGTCAGTGGGGACGCAGGGCAGGGGAAGACGGGATGGGACACTTGCTCCGAGGACAGGAGTGAGCGGGCCTGTCCTCCCGGCTCCCCGGCCACGCCCTGCACTCTGCCTGGAGCGCTCTCTCCCCCGGATGCGCTGTAAGTGTGGAGGGCGGCTTCCAGGCTCCTTCTTAGCGACAACGTCTCTGACCCCAGGAGGCACTGGCGCCCTTCTCCAGATTCCTACACACCCTCGGGCTGTCTGCCCCCCCCATCTGCCCCTCGGGTGGAGTGGGCCTCATCTGTATCCTTTATTGCTGTTCCCGGAGTGCAGGGAGTAACCCTGAGATCATGTGGGCATTGCCACACCAGCAGCTACAAGGCCAGTGACCATCTACGTGCGGGGTCCGAGGAGAGTCCACTGGGATGGCCAAGGCGGGGAGCCTTGTCCCAGTGCCTCGGAGCCTCCCCCGAGACCAGGGAACACTGCCTGCCTGACCCCACCTGGCCCCGTCTGTGAATCTCGCTCATTCTGTCCCCGACCCGTTTGGGTGGGCCCTCTGTCTGCCATCCCACCCCCGGCAGAAAGACAGAGGGCATAGGGCCCCTGGGAAGGCTGGTGTCACGATCCCTGTCCACACGCCCCACTCCTTCCACTTGCCCTGGGCCTTGTGACTCTCCCCTGCCTTCTGGATGGTGAGGAGAGTGTGGGCTGACCCAGGGGGGTGAGGCCGCTCCTCCATTAGCCCCACGTGTCTGCATCGTTGGTGGAGGCCCTGGGACACCAGGGGGCTCCAGTGTCCACCCTCTCCTCCCACCCTCGCCCAGGCCCCCAGCCAAGTGCCTCACACATTCCTGCTGCTGAATGGAGACAGAGACTCGTCTGTCTGTCTGTCTGTCCAGGACCCAGGGTGCTGGGCGGCGCCCTGGGTGGAAGCAGCTGGACCGAGCCCTGGGGCGCCATGGGAGCAGCCGCTGATCCCCTCGGCAGCTCCTGCTCTGCCCCGTGGCGGGGGGGAGGCGGCCCACACTCCCTGCGGGCTTTCAGCCTTGCTCGCTCCACGCCCGGGCCCATTCCCCCGCTCAGTTCCTCTCATCGCCTTTAGTGGCGATAACCGCATACGGTCGGCATCGTCTAATGCGCGTCACACGTTTGGTCAGTGAATCCTGACGTGTCCCCACCTCCCCCGAGAGCCAGAGATGGCACGATCCAGTGCCTGAGGCTCCTGGGCGCAGGTAACTCGTATGCGCGCAGGGCTGGAATCCCGAGCCACAGCCAGGTTCTGAACCACGTGGCGCAGGCCTCCTTTGTGTCCAGCCCCGCTCTCAGCCCAGCCCCGGCTATCGGAGGGCCGGAGTCCTTGCTCAAATCCCACAGGGAGCCGACCTCTAGAAAAGCATGGCGCTGTGAGATTTCTCTCCACCACCTTCCAGAACCCCACCATGCTGGCAGCGAAGGCAAAAATCCACGAGGACCAAGGGCAAGGAAGAGGTGACGGGGGAGCAGGTGAAAGGGAGACCTCGTGGGGAGCAGGAAAGAAATTCCGTGTAAGGAACAATGTCAGGAAGACGAGAGACGACACTGTTCCCGCCGAGGTCACAGAGCAGTGGGAAGCCTGCCGCCTCCTGCGCGCCCCCTGCCGGGCCGTTCAGGTCAGAGCGGGGACCCCGGCCTGGGGGTGGGGTGGGGGCGGGGCACTCACTCGAGAAACCTGGTGATGTACTCGCGGCTGCAGCGGGACCAGGTGAGCGGCACGGTGTCGTACAGGAGCTGTGGAGACATGATGAAAGGCCGTTTCCCAACCGCCTCGCAGTCATTGCCGCTTCCGTCGTGCTGAATGCCAAAGCTGCGTGAGAGCACAGGCCCCGGGCCGGTGAGCCGCGCGCTGGAGGCGCGGTGCGTACCCCGTCCTGCCCCCCAGGCCCACAAGGTGCCCGCTCCCGTCCTGGGGCTGGCTCACCCGCCCAACAGCTGTGTGGCCCTGGGAAAGGCACTTTCCCTCTCGGAGTCTCCGTTTCCTTATATAAGGTGGGCGCGATGGGGCTATTCTCCCACGGGGGCCCCCAGGCGCAGCAGCTCGGCCGTGGCCCCAGACTGTGGCCGCTGCCACCTCCCGGCCACCAGGAACAGTCTGACTCGTCCTCCCACCCCCAGGGCCTCATCCCGAGGCTGTGCCCCCAAGTGAAGGGCATCTGAGCAGCTGCCTCACAGAAAAGGGGTCTCCTCCAGAGACTCTCTTTAGGAAGGGCACAAGGATAACCTGCTAAGTGCCAGGCATCACATGGAGGACTTTCAGAGCCAATACCTCTTTCAGTCCTCAAACAGCCCAGGGAGGCTAAGGCCGCACAGCCAGGAGGTGGCGGATTTGGGGGCAAGCACCCTCTCTACTGCTGGGGCAGCTCTTCAAGGCCCTGTTTAGGTGGCCGTGAGCCAGGGGGCCAACAGCATCTGGGTGGTGACCCCCACTCCTCGACTGTCGGGACCGACTGGTCAGAATGTGGCAAGCTGCCACATTCACCTGCTAAGCAGCCAGCATAGGCCACGTTTAGGCACAAGCCTCAAGCAGACCTGTCTCACGGAGGAGCTTTGGATACCACCGCTCAACCGGCAGGGCCAGAATGGGCAGGGTGCTTGCCTCCTGCCACACAGCAGGGAGTACAGGTGTGTGGGGAGGCCCCTGAGACAAATATGCGGCACCACAGGGCAAGGGGGAGGGGTAGCTGGTGCCTCTGACCCACAGGTCAAAGGAAACCTGTTCCAGCTAACCAAGGGCCTCTCTCCTGTTCTCCAGGGAAGTAGCCAGATTGTGGATGGGGACAGGCAGGGACAAGGGATGGCCAGGGCACCCCTTCCCTAGGGTTCTGACGCCCGTGGGCCCAGCTGCCCAGTGCCCCCAGGTCAGAAGCTGGCAGAAGGGCTGTGGGTACCTGTGCCCGAGCTCGTGGGCCACGGTGAAGGCCAGCGGCAGGCCTGTGTCCTCATTGACGCTGCAGCTGCGGAAGGGCTGGCACATGCCCCCCACATGGGACAGGCCCAGGGTCTCGCAGGGCTGGTTCATGGAGGCGCACAGGTCCTTCCTGCACCGGCAGAGAGAGGGGCGCTCAGGCCGACCTGGCCCGACACCAGGCCCCAGGGAGGGAGGGAGAAGGCTGCCCACCCACTGCCCCGAAACACTAGGCCTGCACAGCAGCCATGGGGACACGGGTGCCCTCTTCACACAGAGCCTGCTGAACACCCCGTGGGTCTGGGGAGCGGACCCTGCACAGATCTATCTAGGAAGCCCCGCTGAGGGAAAAGAACCCCATGTGGAAATCACATAGTCTGCCTCTGCACAGACTGGTGGCCAAACACGCGGGACAGAACCACCCGGAATGCAACACACACGTGGGTGTGCACAACCCTAGTGAAATCCAAGTGAGACCTGTGCCCGGCTCCGTGGCCCATTCCTGGCTGGGCTAGCGCACCATGGAGACGCCAGACGCTACAACATGTCTCGCTGTATCATTTCTGACACCGGCACGAGAATGCGCAATTGTTTCCGAACAGAAAGACTGGCCCGCGCGCTGCCCAGCGGACTCCCCGCAGAACGAGGCCCCGGGGAGCGGGGCGGGGCTCCCGGGGCGGCGGCGCCCCCAGCTGGCGGCACCTGGTGAGCAGGATGGCGGTGTCGTGGTGCAGCGGGTGGGTGTCCCCCTTCATGTTGATGCTTTTCTGCCACTTGCAGAAGCTCCTCAGGGTGTTGTCCGCATGGTGTGTGACTTTTAGGTCCTCCTATGGGCAGACAGTGTGGCCCCTCATGTCTGCCCCTGGGCTCTCAAGGCCTGTCCCAGTCTCCTCCTCGCAGAGGCAGGACTCCGATGCCCAGAGAGGGCAGTGGGAGGACAGCATGGCACCCCTTTCTCCAGCAGGGACCGGGAGACAGGCGGTACTGCCCAGAGGAGCTACGGAGACCCCACGCACCCTCCACACGCAGGCAGTGCGCATGCGCATGCATGCAGCCTCTCACCTCATCGTCTTCCAGGAGGACCAAGCGTACGACAGTGATATGGATGGGGTTCCCGATGCTCGGGTCGTGGAAGATGCCGGCCACCTGCCCGAGAGAGGTCAGGCTGTCACCCTGGCCCTAGGACATGGGCAGCCGCTCCCCACCCCCAGCCCATATCCAGGCTCACGGGCGGGGGAGCTGTGCGGCGCCCACGGGCCTCCCCCAGTGACTCCCGGGGTTCCGGCTCAGCCCAGGACAGAAGGCCAACGCCCAAGACAGATGGGGTGCAAGGTGCGGGGAACAGGCCGGGGATAGCGCTCTGCTCTTTTAAAGCTCCCTCAGAGCAAGATGGCCAGCCCACAGCTGGGGGCCGGCCTTGGGTTTCCCGCGGGCAGGGATGGCAGGCCAGGCCGGCTGTGACCTGGCTTCTGGGGGTTCCATCCACAAAAACACAGTTCGAATAGGAGTGACCCAAACACGCTCTGTTCCAAGGACACGAGAGCCCCTGATAATGGGGATAACAGGTTGACACTGCCTCCCGAATGCCAGCAGCCCCCCAAGGCCTCACTAGTGCCCAGCTCCCTCCCAGCGACTCCTTGGACCCAAGAGTCTGGAGACTGTCGCCCCCTGCTGGGGGCCTGGGCCTGGGGACCAGCCTGCCAGCCTTCCTGCCTCCCCCCACCCAGAACGCCCGCTATCTGCACCCCACCAGGGCCATCCCTCCCCACGGGCCACAGCCCACCACCACTCACTATGTTCATAATGGTCAGCACGTAGCTCTCCACCTGAGGCTGTCCGTGGTACTCCACCATCTTGGCATCGGCCACCACCAGGGTCTCCACCCACTTGTCCTTGCTGACTGAGGGCTGGTGCAGATGCCTGAGCCGCCGGCGCCGCTGCTCTGAATGGTCCCGCCACCGCCACCAGGACGCCTGCTCTGGGGACGCTGTGGGGCCATGGACAGCCCAGGGGAAGCTGTCAGGTGGGCTCGGTGCATAGGGCACCAGGGCCTCTGCTAAGTGAGCTCCCAGGGACAGAGGTGGGGTCAGAAGCAAGAGGTCTGGATGCCCAGGGTGGCCCTGCCCCTGAGCTGTACCATGTGACCATGACTTTGTTACTTCTGGTCTGGGACCCTGGGGGGTCACCGACTGGACGTAGGAATACTCCAATCAGCCTCAGAAGGTGAGCCCAGGGACCAGTGACACAACGGACATGACACAGTAAAGCACCGTACCCAGGACACAGGAGGTCCTGGGCCTGTCTCCCCATGTGGCCACCCTCTGGGGGTTAGTGCATCCCAGCACATGCGGACCCAGGCCTAACCCCCAGCTGACCCCCCCAGCCCCCCAAGCCTGCTTCTCTGCACCAGGCTGAGGATCAGGGAGGAATCACTCGATGTAGCCGGGGAAACCAAGGACAAGAAGCGTTCATCTGTTCCAGCAGAGGCCCTGAACTGTGGCAGCTTCTGAAGTCGGCGCACTGGCAAGCGACCTCCAGGCCCTGGGAGCCCATGGCGGACAGCTCCATACCAGCCCTGGCCCTTGTGCTGGGTCGCCGTTATCAGAGCTCAGTTATTCTCAGGTGGGACCCAAATGGGGAGGGAAGAAAGGAGGCTCCTGGCTAGCTGCCCTGCTGGGGTGCGTGTGGTCCCGCCTGGCCTGGCCTGGAGACTCAAGGAATAATGGTGGGCGCTGAGGGGTGGGGGCACAGAAAGACCACGCCCCCGAGCCGGGCGGGGACCCGGGAGGCGGAAGTGAAAGGGGTCCTTGTAGGAGCTGCACTGAGTAGGCCTGAGAGTCAGAGGCCTCAGGCCAGAGCGCACTTGGAGGGTTGGTCCCTCTATGCCTTTGGCCCCAGGGGAGCCAGGCATTCGGATGGGGATGGAGGTTTCTACAAAGGCCCTCCATGCGCCTGCCTTGCAGCCACAAGCACGTACCTTGCACCCCGCAGGTGCCTGGAGCCCCGGAGTTGCCCTGCTCTGCCTGCCCGCTGGGGACTTGACGTTTGTACACCACGTGGGGCTGGGCGCGGTTGGGCCGGGTCGAGATACCTTCCAGGGGCTCGATGAAGTAGTCCTCGTTGGAGAGCCGGAACACACCTTTCTGGGGAGAAGTTCCCCGTCACACCAGGAGAGCCAGCCCTGGCTGCTCTTCCCCCCGACCCCACTCCTGGCTGGCCGCGGACACACGGGTTTGTGTTCTCTCTGTGCCCAGTCTGGAAGGTCCTTCTTGCCCTGTCACGCAGCCAAAGGCTTTGGGCTGAAGCTGCTTGACACACCCGCCCCTCGCCCAGTTCGGAGGGACTAATGGGTCTGGTCCCAATGGAGCAACACTGTGTGTCCCCTGTGGTCCCAGGCAGCCATGCTGGCTGGGCAGCCAGGAATCTCCTCTGGAGACGCTCATGGCCAGCCGGACATGCTCTTCCCTGGGCCCAGGGCCTGCCGGACGAGGGAAAGCCACACTCCAAAGGAAGAGGGGCTCCGCTGCTTTCTGAGCTACCTCGTCTGCATGAACCACATGTCGTGGTTCTGAAAGTGGGTCTTTGTATTGCCAGCACCTTCAGGAAGGCTGTCACAAATGTCCCAAAGTCCTAGCCTGTGAGACACTGTCTCAAGATGGCAGGCGGGTGATTCTAACTAACTAAAGTTTGGGAACCCAGTCCTCCTGGAACAAAGAGGCCCGCGCTCTCACTCCAAAGATGGCTACTGAGGCTTGGGAAGGGGAAGTGAACAGGCCGAAGTTACCGGTTAAAGTCGGAGGCAAGCAGGGGCACTCACCAGGCCGTCGCAGGCGCTGATGGCTGCCACGCCGCCCTCCAGCTCGGGGTCCTGCACCTCGCCCAGCAGGTGGCAGGTGGGCACCTGCCTGCGGATGTGCGTGCGCCCCAGGCCGCCTCGCCGGTGCGTCTCGCTCACGAAGCCGGGCGCCAGCAGGCGCGTGTTGGCGGCCAGGTGGAAGCGCAGTGCGCGCCCGCGGAACTGCAACTCATAGAAGGCGTGCGCGGCCGGCTGCGCGGACAGGGCGCGCTTGCGCAGCACACGTGGCCACAGCTCGTAGGACAGGAAGACGCCCTCCGCGTCCACGCGTACCGGGTGCACAATGTCCAGCACCTCCGGGCCCTCAGCCGCCAGCCCTGCGGGGAGAAAACATTGAGGTCTCCAGGGACCAGAAACCGTCCTGTGCTCGCGGCCCAGCCCGAAACTCCATCTAGATCAGGCTGCAGAAATGCAGCTGGCCACCAGTCTGCGTCCTGCCAGCCCTCCTGCCCAATGCCCTGGACACACTGGTGGGGTCCCCCTGCGGAGGACACCCCCATTGCCCACCACAGCCCCGGGCCAGCCCTCTGGTACACTGCTCCAGGAGAATGGCCCTGGCTGGACACAGGAGGCAGGGCTGGTTTGGGTGACCGCCCCTATCTCTGGTTTTCAGGAGGACAGCAGTGCAAGGATTTTCCAGGCTTCTCAGATAAGAATTCCTTACAAACAAGTTTCCGTACCCTGTCCCAGAGGCACCGACTGAATCAGCATCTCCAGGAAACCCTGTGGGAAGCTGTGTTTTGACCAGGAACCTCAGGGAAGTTGGGAAATCCCCCACTGGAAGTTTATCCGGCTGAACGGAAGCAACACCTGGGAGCTGTGCAAGCCTGTAGGTGCTGAGGACTCTGCGGCATAGGTGTTTTGGGTGCTTTCCCAAGCCCTCCGGGGGTCCTGTTGTCACCGTGTGGGAGCCTGCCACTTGGAAGCCACAGGGGAGGGATAATCTAAGGAAATTCTAGCTCAGACATCCTGAGGGCACTTAGAATAGAATTCCACAACCCCAGCTTTCCACCAGTTCATTGATTTGTGTGTGTGTGGGGTGGGGTGGGTGTTTGTTTTGACTGACACAAATATTGGAAACTATTTAATCAGTCATCAGTGTTTAAAAATCCCATGTTCTCACCCTGGCCAGGTGGCTCAGGAGTGTCACCCTGTACACCAAAAAGTTTTGGGTTTGATTCCCAGTTAGGCACGAGTGGGGGTGAGGTCAGTGATTCTCTTCCCTGGCCCCTGTTCTCTCTTTCTAAAATCAAGGAACATATATCCTCAGGAGAGGGTTGTTTTTTTTTTTTTTCCGTTGCATGTTCTTATATCCCCCAAAATCTCAATTTTCAGTTCCCCTTGAAAATTATCATCATCTCTCCAGGTCAGGCCTCTTTGCCCACTTCTCAGAAGTATTTCTGTAGCACAGGCTGCTGTTCCCCCAGCTGCCCCAGTCCCCACCAGTCCTTATTGTGTTCCCATGACACTGCAGCTGAGTACAGGTCACCCTCTGGCTTCACACTTGCATCTCATTCAGTAAAAAACTGAATCTCTAACAAAATGGGAAAACCAGAGGTGGGCCAAGAAACCCCCTATTTCAAGAAAAATGTCTCCCTACCAGTCTCATCTTTGTCTACATTTGTTACCTGCCCGGTCACAGCATTTGGGTTGTGGAGCAGTGCGAGGTGCCCCAGGAAAATGTACGAGACACCGTGTCCTCAAAACAGAGGGTGGCAGAGCCCTCGGGAACATCACCCCCAGCAGAGTGCGGACAAGTTAGGGGAGGGGACACCCACAGACGGACAGGTGGGAGAAAAGCTTTGTCGCAGACACCTCATGGAGATGTGTGAGATGTCTGTTGGCACATTTAACCACGAAGACGAGGAGGGCGTCCTGGTGGTAGACCCCCGGAAAAGACAAAAAAGCTAGCAGTACAGGTACCAGGGGCAGGAAGGTAAGCCCGGGCTACACATGTGTCCTGTGAAATGAGAGGCAGGGGCGGGGGGACGGTGCCTTGTCAAAGGTGTGAGCTTTGAACAGAGGAAGACCTGGCTGGGTCCCAAGTCGGCCACTTTACAGCGTGTGGCCTGGAGGCTGAGGCGAGTCCCAGGGGTGGGGGCTTGCAGCACTCAGTGTCCTGGGGGGTCGGAGCTACGTGACACACTGCAGGTCACAGCCGTGTCCCTGAATGTACGTGGGTGGGACAGGGAGGGCCATTTGCCACTGGGGAGTCTGAATCACCGGGGAGAAATGAGCCCCAGAGCTGCAAAGAGTGTCCCCAGGGAAGAACCTGTGTCCCTGGGGACATATATTCCCATTGAAAATTCCTGCTCTAGGCCCTGGGCCAACACGGCCAGACAGAGTCAAGGTGAGCAGTCCAGAGGCAGGCAGCCTGTTAGGTTCAGAAATGTGTCAGAGGTCAAGGACAGAGAAGCTGCAGGGCCAAGGCATTCAGATGGCTGCGTGGGGGAGCCAGTCCACCAGCCGGGACACCCACTGCTCGGAGCCTCAGTTTCTCCAGCTATACAATGGGTACGATACTCATACCCACTCTCTAAGGCTGCAGAAATGAAAGGAGTTACTACGTAAGAGATGAGAACAGCGGGCGGCCCAGAGCGAGAGCGAGCTACGTATGATTGAAAGTTAGTAAGAGAAGTTCTCCGGCACACTTAGCCATTTTTCTAAAAACCTGTTTTAGATTGGCACTCGGTGTATCTGAGGGCGGGCAGAGCTGATGGGAGCAGGGGCCACTCAGCGGGGCTGCCAGTGGCCCATGGCCACATCTGCTCTGGTTGGCGGGTGTTGAATACTTTGACTATCACCCTTAGGTGACAGAATTGTCACTTTGGAGCTTCCACCAGGGAAACACCGATAGGGTGTGAACCCTTCCCTCCCTATCAAGAACCTGCAGTACATACGGTCCAGCCCTTCAAACAACCCAGAGCTCCTGCCAAAGAGAAAAAATAACCAGGGTGAGTGTGTGTGTGTTGGCGGGGGGTGAGGGTGTGAGACCCACAGGGCTCCTGTGTGGGCTGCAGCCTTTTGGTGGGGACATGGCTGGGTGTCAGCCCCGGCAACTCCAAGTCCTTCCGACTGCCACATGTCCCTAAAAGTCACCCCAAGCTGTGCCCTTCGGCCCCAGAGAAGTCTCTGCATTCAATGGGCAGAGCCCTGGACTATGTCTCCTGGGGCATCTGCAAAGACAATAGCAGAAAGCTCAGGGCCTCAGGGTCAGGGATCCTGAGTGTGAGCAGACCGGGAGGCCTCCCTGCACCCCGCTACATACACTCTACCATGGGGACTGCCTGCCCTGCCTGCACCCCCAAATGGCAGCTCCCAAGGACTCCCCAATCTTCCGGGGTCTGCCTGGTGAAATAACAGCCACCACGTGGAGGTCATTCAGGCTTTCACTCAATCCTCACCAGAGCCCTACGACCCCCATTGAACAAATGGGCGAATGGCAGCCCCTGTGGGCAGCAGGGTGGCCACACTCCTCCAAGGTCAGCTGGCCTGCAGTGGTGGTGGGGAGGAGGGCCCTGACTGCAGGGGACCCCTCCCCTGCATTCTTCCCACAGCTGCTAGGGGAGCCGGACCCAAGTTCAGGCTCCCCACGTTCCTGTTCCCGAACCCCATCGCCTGCTTCACCCTCAGCCAGCCCTCGGCTGCCCAGGAGCGGGCTAGCAGGTCACTCTTAATGAGCCTGCCCCCTCATCCATAAAGGATATTCCAGCACCTGCCTGGTGGGGTGGCACCCAGTGAGCGCCCAGTGATTGCTTGCTCCTCCTCCACATCCCACACCCTGCTGCTCACAAATCCCCCATCACGTTGCTCCCCTCAGCAACCCCTCTTGCTCACCAGCTCCCCAAAGCACCGGGTCCCTAGTAGGGAGCAGGTCTCCCTACCCCCAGCATGCAGGCCTAAACCAGCCCCCCACCCACAGGTCATCGTCCTCAGGCCTCTCCTGCTCCGCTCTCCCCACTGCCCCGCCCCATCAGACCAGCAGCTCCCCTGGCGAGCGGACCGGGGGATCCTACACCCCCAGCTCCTAAATCCTCAGGCCGGCTGCTCGGCTGCTCCGGACGCGCCAGGCGCTCCGCCGCCAGAGACTCATCCGAGGCCCGTCAGGCGCAGCGGAGGCAGGAAGTGCAGGGCGGCGCGAGACTGGACCCCACCGAGGGCCACGGGCCGTTCCGAGGCGGGGGGCGCCCAGGGGGCCGGAGGACCGGAGGATCGCAGCGCCTTGCACACAGCCCGCTTTCCACACAGGCGCACGGAGGAAGGTGAGAAACCGACTCCTTTGGGTGTAGACCGTGTTCTGTGCAGTCCCTCGGACAAGAGACCCCCAGAGGGACGCACGCTGCAGCGCCCAAGCTGGGGTGCACTGGAGCCGGAGAAGCAGAGAGACTTCTTCCCGCACAGGCAGGGCCGCTGGCGGAGTTGGATCTGGAAGGCCCCCCACCCCACCCGGTCCCTCTTCACACCCAGGGGGGGCGGCGAGGGGCGAGCCAGGGGTTGGTGGAGGAGAGAGGGGCCGCGTCGAGGCGGGGATCCGGGCGCCCACCCACCTGGTGCGGGTCCGGGTGCGCCAGGCGCTAGCGCGCACAGCAGCAGGAGGAGGGCGCGCAGGGCTGCGGGGCTGTGGGGTGCGCGGGGGCCCGGGCTGGGCATGCCGGCCACCCCTCGGGCTCCTCCACGCGTTTGCTCTGCTCCTTCAGGGTCCTGGGTCCGACTCAAGACACACACAGCCGGCCGCGCGCGCCTGCAGCTCCGTCCCGCCGGACTCCGCCCGCGTGCAACAAAGACTGCAGGACCCGCCCTCTGTGGAGGCGAAGAAAAGACCAGAGAACAGAAGGGGCGAAAGAAGGAAGAAAGGGAAGAAAGAAAGAAAAGAAAGAGGGGAGGTGGGAGGGAGGCAGGGTAGTAGGGAGGGGCGGCCGCCGGCCCCCGCCCCGCTCTGGGCTCCTGCCCCCGCCCCGTTCCTCCCCACCCGCCCCCCCAGGGGCAGCGCAGGGTCAGCACCACAGACTTACACCCACCACCCGTGAGCCGAGGGCGCCCTCTGCTGGTGGAGCTGAGCCAGCTCTCCCGGCCTGGGCGCTCTGAGACCCCTCCAAGAATCTGGATTTTCCGGAATTCCTGCCTGGTCCCCAAGCTCTGCCCGAGTAGGAGCCCCTCGGTGTGTGTCCCGGCCAGACAGCCCTGCCCCTCCTAGGAAAGGGACACGGAGGCCTCCTGAGGGTCTGGGGGGCTCACAGCCAGGCAGCAGGGGCCCTGGGGTCCCAAGATGATTCTGCTCCAAGGACAGCTCAGGAGAGAGGCTTGGGCCGCCCCCAGTGGGCAGCCTTTTCCCTTGCGAGGCAGGGTCCCCGGTTCCTCGACTTCAAGTGTACGTCTGCATAGACATAGTGGCTAGGCTGCGGCCCCCAGGCTCTCAGCAGGGCCCCCCTGGGAGCCCGGAGTCCCGCCAACACCAGCCTGACATCCCAGGCCAGCCTCTGCCTCCACCCCTCAGCCATCTGTCCTTCCGCTGCCCCTGCTGGGCCTCTGGCTGCCTGCTCCCTCTCTGCTCTGCTCCTAGGATGCTCACCCTCCATCTCCCGCTCTAGCGCGGGGACCTCCGCTTCTGTTCTCCACCTGGGCTGCCCTGGCCCTTGGCCAGTCCCTGTGGAGCTTCTCCCTCTGAGGCCCACAGACTAACCGTCACTCCCACAAGCTCCACCGGCAGCCCCTCTGCCCTCCTGGGGCACCTGTGGAGCACCCTGCCGCTCGGTTCCTTGACCTCCTCCAGGGTGGCCTTCCTCTCCACCTCAGCCACCAGCTCTCAGGGCCGTGGCCTAGGCTGTGCCTGATGCCGCTGCCACTGCCGCACCTCTGACACCTGAAGATCGGATGCCCTGATCTCAGACCAGAACCCTCCCTGACAGGCACACCACGTACTTGTCTCCTTCCAGTCGCTGGTCTCCTTTGTCTACTCTGTGACTACTTCCTTCCCCGGCTGCATTCACGGCTCCATCTCTGGCCTTTCAGCAAAACCAGGCTCAGCCTGGCCTCTCCGTAACAGCAACAGTAAATAAGAACAAAAAGGAGGAGGAGGAGGCAGAGGAGAAGAGGAAGAAGAAGGAGAAGCAGCAGCAAGACTCCACGGCAGGCAGAGCTGAGGGCCCCTCCTGGTTACTTGGTGGATTCCCTCCTGACACTGTTATCACAGGTTATCACTATCTTCTTCAGTCGATGGACCCCAGTCCACACAGCTGGGAAGGGACGTTAAGGGGACTGTAGTCTTTTCCTCCCCTGGACCCTCACGCGCTGCGACTGATCCCCCCTTCCTCGAGCTTCCTCACTTGTCACTCCCTCTGTCTCATTTCTGTCAGCCTCATTGTAAAGTGGTATGTACGGGTAGGTCATATTTTAAAGTCCAACCCTTGTCTGACTTTATTTTTTTATGTGTGTTTTTAAATAACCTTTTTTATAATTATGCAAGTACACACATGTATTATAGGAAGTTAGAAAATCAAGACAAACATTTTCAAAGAATCAAACATTATTACACTAATAGGTGGCCTTATTCTTGCTACGTGAGAGATTACTTGGATCTGCAATCTGCTTTTTCCAATCATCTCTACTTTTTTTTAGGTTTTTTTTTTCTAATTTTAGAGAGGGAGAGAGAGAAACATCAACTTTGTTGTTCCACTTTTTATGCACTCGTTGGTTGCTCCTTGTATGTGCCCTCACTGGGAATCGAACCCACAACCTTGGTGTATATTGGGACAATGCCCTACTCAGCTGAGCTACCCCACCAGGGCCTCACCTCCACTTTTTTATTACAGTAAATTTTCATCTCATCGAATATTCAAACTATATTCAGATTTCCCCACTCTACTCCAAAATCTCTTTTATAACTGGTTTACTCAGAATAAAATCCAATCTAGGATCACCTGTTGCATCTGGTTATTACGGCAAAAGTCATTTCTGAAAAAGAGAATACATGTAAACAAACAAACATAAATAAAAAGATAGTACTTGTTCAAGACACTAGGCCGGTTGTCCTACAAAATTTCTTTCCTGATTTTGTCATTCATCCATTTCCTCATCCCTCCCTACTTCCTGTGAAACCTTTTTTGGCTAGAATAAAATAATAGATCTCGCACACTTCATAACACTTTACTGAAGAGTCGATAGTCTTCTCTTATAAGGGTTATGCTTTTTCTAATCCTACATGTCTTTGTTTTTATCTTTTTTCCCCCCTCCAAAGTAGAGTGCTCCCTCGTGAACTGGGGCTATCTGGTGATTGGGAACGACAGATCCTCTTAGAAACACAGAATAAATCTCTAACTTTCCATTTTACTGAGGAGAGTCTTTTAATAATGTCCCTGCCCACACCGAGATGCTAACGGTCGGCGGGAGAAACATCTTCCCTTTGAGTTTTGTGTGTAAGCAAACGCGATATGGTATTTTCAATGATTTCAGAGCCTGCGTTGGCTTATAAATCCTCTTCTCTTGTGTGAACGACAGGGCGTGGATGAGATGAACCACCGGGAGTTGGGGGTTGGGCCTGGGGGTGGGGGGTGGGGGTCCTAGAAAAATCCCGGGAACGTGAAAGCCACACGCACGGGGCAGAGAGGCCAGCCCTGTAGTCACCCTCTGGATTCGGGCCTTGTCGGGAGTGATGACAGACTTCTCCGGGTGTGCACCGGGCACCCCCCAGTCCCCGCCGCGGGTGCGTGCGCGCCGCGCCTTGGTCTTGGCGCGCGCGCGCACCCGCACCTCCCGCCCCGCAGGGGCCGCGGCCGCCCGCACCCCCGCTCGCCCGCTCGCCGCTAGAGGGCCGCTGGTGGGCTTCGCCGAATGGTCAAGTTCTTGCGAACGGAACCCGTCATGAGACAGACATTTGAAAGTAGTGAGAAAACTTTACCCACCCGAACACTAGGAGAAACAATAATGTAATATAGAACATCCGGCCTGGCGGAAGTGAAAATAGTCTGATCCTCTGAAGAGGGATAGATGAGAGGCCAATTTTCAGCTGCCCGGCTAGCTCAGTCGGTAGAGCATGGGACTCTTAATCCCAGGGTCGTGGGTTCGAGCCCCACGTTGGGCGGTCTGCTTTTTTAATTCGACCTCAGGTTTTCACTCAGAGTTTCTCATTTTGAAACAATTCAGAACGGTATAAAGTACGAACACTAAACTGGTTCCAACAGGGAAACGTGAAACTAAGGAGCAAGTTTGCCTTATGAATACACAGTAAGATGATCTGGTATGGAAAAGTATTTGTTACGAGTGACCTATTGAAGGGCAGTGTTAAAGCCAAAGAGAAGACGAAGACATGAAAATTTATAAAATTGTGGAGTTCATAAATATTGCTGGGGTGATCTTTGTTCAAACTTTTGAAATGTATGTTTTTAACTTAATGCTATGCGATATTCAAGATTTGTTTGGAGATCAGCTCTGCTTTACAGGGTGTACTATGCTTATATATATATTTTTAAAGGTTTTATTTATTTGTGTTTAGTCACAAGGGAGGGACGGAGAAAGGGGGAGAGAAACATGGATGGATCGTTGGCCTCTCGCTCGCCCCCAACTGGAGGCCAGGACTGCAGTCCTGGAGCGTGCTCTGACCTGAATCGACCCGTCGACCTTTTGCTTTGCCGGATGGCACTCAACCACGTGAGCCAAGCATATCTGTAAATATCTGTGAATTCCTTGAAATTCATGTACTTTCTGAGTGTGGGAAGGGCTCGTGATTGTTGTGGGCTGTTTAAACTGTGGTCTGCAGTCACCCACCAGCAGAGCAATGATGCGGCAGGAAAGCCCCGGGTGCCTAGCAACCGGCAAATCTGGGAAAAACGAGGATCTCATCACAGGGTGACTTTTCCTCCCCCGGTGCGTTGTTGCTAGTCTTGCAGGTTAGACCCCCCCCCCTTAGAGGGGGATGGAAGAAGGGGGCGGGGGGATATCGCTTTAAACATTAAGCCCCTAGGACAATGAGGTTCTGACCTACATCAAATACTCCATACACCTAGACCCCCATCGTATTTCTGCTCCAGGGCCAGAAAAGCAGCAAAACCAGACAAGCCACACCAAGACTGACATCAGGCCCAGCACTACTGACCAGTGACCCCTGGCCTGGCGCTGACCAATCAATGGAGAACACGACTCTGAAAGTGCCCACCTGGAGAGCTGATGAATTTTCTCTTGAGATCTTCTCATGGCACCTCCCAGAAATTCTCCATCCCTGAAAGCTCTTAGGACTGAGGACCCAACACCCCGTCAAAAAAACACTGTAAGGCTTGGTTTCATGATTTTGGTTAATCAGGTGGATCCTGTGGACACTCCCTTAGGACTTTTTTAATCCTTTGTCTTTCCTGAATTAGTGATTCAACCTGAAAATTTTCCTTCAACCATTTTCATCTCTAAGCATATCTCAAAGCAAACCATTATATTTTCCTAAAATAACTCACTGTCTGTGGGCAACACTTTGCTTTTGTGTTGACATCTGCAAATTCTTTTCTTGTTTTACATATTTTCCATCATTCCCAGCAATTCTCAAACACCGTTCACAATTACCATGTTTTTTTTTTTTTAAAGATTTTATTTATTTATCTTTAGAGGGGAAGGGGGGAGGAGAGAGGGAGAGAAACATCAATGTATGGTTGCCTTTTTGTGCGTCCCCTGCTGGGAACTGGCCTGCAGGGAACCGGCCTGCAACCCAGGCATGTGCCCTGACTGGGAATCGAACCGCGATCGTGTGGTTCGCAGGCCCGCGCTCAATCCACTGAGCTACACCAGCCAGGGCACCATATGTTTTTATCATCAATTCAACACACAATTTCAGACTGTGGGAGAAACACCTGGCAACTTCCAGGATCAGAAATGAAGGTCCCTAAATGCCCCTTTTTGAGGTACTTAAAGATGAGTACTGAATCTCCAGGTGATGGGAGGTGAGTGAAGCAGCTTTCAAAAGGCAAACCCCAGCTGAGAAAAGCAACCTGGTAAATTAATGAGAATTCAATGAAGAGATCATGTATTCGTTTCAAATCAAAGATTAGTGTCAGGGGTGGCATTGTCTCCGTTAGAATGCATAGGAGTCTTCACCTCCAGGGCCTCAAAATGAGACTTTATCTGAAATTAAGGTTGTTGTACATGTAATTTGTTAAGATGTGGTCATACCAGAGAGGAATGGGCTCTTAATCCAGTATGTGTGGTATCTTTATAGAAAGGGGACATTTGGAGAGACACACACACACAGAGGCAGAAATACAAAGGGGTGATACAAAGGGGATGGCACCCACAATCTTGGCATAGCAGAACGAAGCTGTAACTAACTGAGCTACCCAGCTAGATGCAAAAACTCCATTTTAAATGGAAAAAAAAATCCTCCAGAGAATGGCAGTTTTGTATCTTATTTTATACATCAGAATCAAAGGAGACTTAAGGGGGTTACACGAAATCCATTGCTGATAGATTAGGGAGGTGGAAGAAAGCAAAGAGGGAATCTCCTGGGTTGGACAAAAAGTAAAAAACGAATGGGTATACATTTTTACATTGGTGGGCATAGAACAGTTAACACTTAACAGGATCATAACAATGAGGGGATTTGTAGTCTCTGCTCTGGTGCAGTGCTTGTGCCCTGAGGGGTATGGAAAAAAGAAATTACTCTACTCGGACATCCCCCCGAGAAGCATGTTATAGATGAGAAAAGGTAAAAATTGACCTGAATCAGGGAAGACACCTGACCGGGACGGGACTACCCGCCATGACTCGCTTTCACTAGAAAGTTCTACCTTCAGACCATCCCGTGTGGTTATTATGGGCCCCTGCGTTTGCAAGGCCGGCCCAGAGCTCGTCAGGGTTAGTAAGGGGCCTCTTTTTTTCCATCCAAAGGCTTTTATTCTCCCTGCCACGGCGGGGCACATATTCACCGCCTTTCCGGGCGATTCTCTCAGTACACTGTTTCTGCCGCTGAGCAAAGCAAGGACTTTTGAACAGGGGAATGATGTGAGGACATCTGTTCGCGCTGTGTGTACTTTAGGTAACAACTGGAGGATACGGGTGACAAAGGCTGCACGCGCAGGGCTGGTGGGGCGGGGTTCTCCGAAACCTCCTTCGGTGGCAGGTCGGGCGCTCTCTGGTCTCAAAGGCCCAGCTCGCTCCTGGGTCCCGCGGGTCCGCTCTCACGCCTGCGGGTCGGCAGGCCACGTGGCCTCCCAGGGCGAGAGCAGATGTTTAGCCAGGCCTCAGGGCCTAACCCTGCCCCACGCGGACCTGTCCTCGCAGGCCGCCTCTTGCTACACCACGGTAGTGTCTGAGGGATTGTACACTGGGCCTTTCTCGCTCGTTATCGCCTCCCTCCCGCGCCCCCAAGCCACCTAGAGTCAATCCGGTTTTCACTGACCCCAGGGGACACGGGATGGGAAAGGATGAGAAGGGCTGAGAGAGTGGCGCCCGCCTTCTCCCCGTGGCAGCTTCGAACTACCGTTCCCGGCGTGCCCTGGGAGGCGTGGCTCAGGGCGCGTGCGCGGCGTGGGGGGGGCGTCTACGGTTGGCCGGCGCGGTTGCGCAGTCGCGGTGCTGTGAGTTGTTTGGACGCCGGCAAATCGCGCCCGGGATGTAGAGCTAGTGCTGCCTACGGCGTCTGACGCGGAGCTGGGTGGGGTGGCGAGTGGGGGGCGGTAGTCGGGGTGGTGGGAGAAGGAGGAGGCGGCGGCGAATCCCTATAAATGGCGCCGAAGCAGGACCCGAAGCCTAAATTCCAGGAGGGTGAGTCTGGGCTTTGGGTGAGGCAGCTAACGGCGGGGAGGCGGACAGGCGGGCGGCCCTTTGTGCAGAAGCGCATTGCGGCGCAGTTCTGGGCGCGGCCCGGGAGACCGCTTTGTGCGGCGAAGGCGCTGGGGCGGCGGGGGCCGAGCGGTGCGGGCGCGGCGGGCCTCCCTCAGCGTTTGTTGTTCTGAGGCGGCGGCGCGGGCAAGCAAGCGGTGGTGGGAGGGCTGGGCTCCATGGCGGCGCTGGGGCAGCGGGGAGCGGCGCGGGCCTGTCGCGGGAGGACAACCGCTAGCGCTCGAGGCCGCCGCGAGCCCGGGGCGGCAGCGGGGGGTGGGGGCGCCGAGTCGGGGAGGGGCGGGCGCGGGGCCCGGCGGGCGAGCCGCGGCGTGAAATGGCCGCCGCAAGATGGCCGCCGGCGGCTCCCCGCGCCCATCTCAGCCTCGCGGGCGGTGGCGGCGGCTTTGTGCTGCCTGCGGGCACCGCTCTGTGCTCTAGCCGTCGAGCGTGCGCTCGCGGTGCGGCCGCTCGTAAAAAGACGAGTAAACCGTGTGAATCCAGTGTTATGAGCCCTCGGTTTACAAGTCCCGTGGTTTCCAACGCTATCCTTTAAATGCTGCCGCCGATGGACTCCTCGTAATAACGTTTTGTTAACAGAGGTTTGGAAGCTCAGCGAGCTTCCATTTGGTTTTGGCGGACAAGGCTTTTAGCCAACGGTAAAGTCGGGCCCCCAGTGGGAGACAGTTTTTTTTTTTTTAATTTTTATTTATTTTTTGAGAGGGGGAAGGGAGGGCTAGGGTTAGGGAGGAGAGGGAGAGGAACATCAACGTATGGTTGCCTCATGTGTTCCCACTGGGGACCTGGCTCGCAACCCAGGCTTGTGCCCTGACTGGGGATCGAACTGGCGACACTTGGGTTTGCAGCCCAGGCTCAATCCACTGAGCCACACATCAGCTGGGGCGGGAGACAGTTCTTTAATGTCACAGTGAACGCATCCGTCACCGGGCATTAAAGGGGAGGTCCGGTCGTCGGCTAAAATGGATGCAAAACCCTGGAACCAACGCTTCAAAATTCCTTTCGTTGCTAGGGGTGTACCTGCTACTTACTGTAGAAGTCCAGATCGGTGCAGAAAATTTTTGTGGTAGGGATTTTCGCATTTTGTGTTTTAGAATTCCTTGGAGAGACATACCTCCAAAACCCAAGTGCATTGTAGCTATGGCTTATTTATTTATTTATTTATTTATTTAAAGATTTTAATTATTTATTTTAGAGAGATGGGGAAGGGAGGGAGTGAACCGTCAGTGTATGGTTGCCTCTAGCACACCCCACACTGGGAATATGGCCTGCAACCCAGGCATGTGCCGTGAGTGGGAATCAAACCGGAGATGCTGTGGGTCGCAAGCCCGTGCTCAATCCACTGAGCTACACCACCCAGGGTGCTATGGCATATTTAGGGACTTTTGTTTTAAACGGTATTTTTGATGACGAGTGACTCTTAGTAGCTTTCTTTCACCTCGAGAGGCAGCGACTACTTACTGTGGATGCATTTTTTTTTTTACTAGGTGTTTTCGAGCAGGGATTCTTTAACTAGAGTCAGAAGATTGACGAACTTGCAGACATTTTTTGTTGTTGTTGTCTAACTGACGTGTATTTCAGTTAGGAATGTAGCACCCACCCCTGGGAAGAAAAGCCCCAGTACTATTAGCAGTATGTTTGCATCCTGCAGCATTACAGTGGTGGACGGAACGTGCTCCTCATTACTTCAGAATTGTAGCTACTGGGCCAGCAGCTAAATGTTCCTTGTGTCAGTTGAGTTCGTATTATGTCATAAAACGTAGTATTTAAAATGCTTCGATAAGTATTTGAGCATAGTTGGTTTCCTTTGTTTTCCCATTTATGAAAGCATTCTAGAAAGGGCCTGTAGGCTTCTGGAGACTGTCAGGGTGACTGGAAAAGTTAATCCCTCCTTCAGGTCAACACCGGAGGAAAGTCACTGAGGTTTGGGACAGCTTATTGGAGCGAGTGCTTTAATCACAGCTGGGAAGGTGGTGGGTGGAGCCTCAGTGTGTAGCTGCGGTGGTGTGTGTAGCTGTGGTGGTGAAGTGGGAGTCAGGTGCCCTTCCTTAGAGCCATGCAAGTCCCTGACCTCACCGGCACTTTCCAGATGTGCTTTCTACTCTTGCAGCAAAGCCGAGTTGCATAACCATCATTAACAAATAAGAATTATTTATATGTGTTTAGAGAGTACCTTGTAAGGAAAGAGGAATATTTTAACAGAATTGTAATAAAACACTTCAGAAGAATTCAGTTTATGTAGTGGTGGAAATGTGAATGATCAGAAGTAGTATTTTCATAAATTTTTTAAACTTGAAAGTTTTTCTCATTTGGTAATGGTACAACATATATATAAGCAGTTTTAAGCACAGTGACTATTCTGCACTGCACTGGGCCTTCCTTTGACATTCAGTTAAAGCCTAGTGCAGAGAAAACATGGGCCTGCAGTCCGTTGTCAGAGGGAGGGCCCTTTGCCTTGCTGAGGATGGGAGCCTGGCAGATGCTGGCCTTTGAGTGAAATTCCTAGTAAGGGGGGATTTGAGAGCCTT